AACTTTGTTTATCTTTAACGCTTAATGCTGCGGCGCCATGCAATGAATTGGAAGTTGATCTGTCAGCACTATCCTTATCTTCAGGGCAGATGTTTTTATTTTATTTGGCTTATAATTTCTTACTAAATGTAGTATTTCATCTCGATGTACTCTGTCTTTGATATGATTTAAATCAAATTCCTCATCATTATAATTCGTTTCCGATAGCGAAGAAAGTAACAGAGGTTATTGAAAACGAAAAAATTTCGATTCACAAATTAGTCGGTATTCCCGACACAGCAATTATAGGACTTGAACAGCGGAACTTTGTAACTGAACAAGAAATCATGTCTGTTTATAGAATTAAAGAGAATGTATTATCACATAAAAAATGAAGCAACTTACATTGAAAGGAATATTTAATAAAATAAACAAATAAATATTAAGCTTTTTTTTTTTGTGTGTGTGTGTGTGTAAATTTCGATACCCTTTAGATCATAATTGTTCTTTATTTCATAAATTACAGTTTCATATTTTTAATTTTATAATTTCTGCATGCCATCTTACCAGATTTAAACTGATGATCTATAATCCAGAAAAATCGATAATCCGGAATCACCGAAGTCCCGACGAGTCCAGATTAACGACTTTTGACTGTATTGGTTGTTTGAATTTTAGTTCCATTTACATCAACAGAATTACATTAGAATTATACGACATAGAATTTTCTTGAAATGATGCAGTGCAAATAGAGATTACTATTTTTAGATTAGAGAAGGAAAATTAATTTACACTTCTAATTTAATCTTTTACATATTCTTATTTTTTCTATCTTATGTAATATATATATATATTTCAAGGGAAAATAACTGTTATACTAAAATAGGCTAATAACATTACGCGTTACGCCGAAAAACCATGAAGCTCTTGTTTAATGCGAAAAAAACTTTTTACAAAAGTATATTAGTATTTCCGAAAAATTCTTTTGGAATAATTCCTTTTTAGTAGCTCCACTGCTCTGTCTCTTTTCCCGACGCGTCCGCTGAAAAAACACTTAAGGTGTCAAAAGCTATTTATGATTCGAGCGATGTAAATAAAAATCAAAATCAAAGTAGAAAAATAATAAATTAAAATAAATAGCGGTCTGCTATTAGACAAAATACACATCAACGTACGGTCTGGTCCTTTACCTTAAAGACTTCGTAACTTTTATTAGAAGAAAGGTGCTGTAAACAGATAAAAATGTAATCGACATTGTAAGTAAAAAAATTTAATCGACATTGTAAGTAAAAAAATGTAATTGACATTGTAAGTAAAAAAATGTATTCAATTTTGTAAGTAAAAATGTCGCAGGGTCTTATTAGGACCAAAAAACTTATACAAAAAACGAAAAAACTGACCTGAGAGGTTCCGTCCTCAGCTTCCGGAAAATTTTTTTTGGAAAAGGGCGCAAAATCCCTTCTTGTTCAAACCAACATTCCTTATCGTACAATGACGTCATCGTGCGAAGCTATTAAAACTGAAGAGGCCAATGGGCTGAGAAAGTAAGTTGGCGGGAAGTCTTGTCCCCCTCTTTTTTACAGAAGGGGGTGACAGATGAGAAAAGACACGGAAAGAACTCAAAATAGCGTCAGTGAAGTTGTAGGAAGAACAAAACTGTTAAAAATAAGTGAAAATGGCTAATTCAGCTAAAATTACTTATTTTTGGCCACGAAAGAAAGTGTAAATTGTAAAATAATCATCTGTTAATAAAAGTCGTCATTCTTCAAGCTTGAGGGCTGTCAAGCTACTATGAAAAATGAAAAAGCCCGATTTTTTTAATAAAAGCGGAGTCTGGCCTTCTAAGTAATTTAAAACTATTACATAATAGTATTAAAGTAGAGTGCCAAAAACTTTGGAGGAAAGAAAATGTTTGTAGAAGAATTAACTGTACATTTACATTTATACAATTTTTACATTAGATAATCTGAATTAGCTATCCATCATCTGCCCTCCAATAGGCTTTAAGCAGAAAATTTCATTATCCCAAACTAATTATCTAAAAATTGGTAAGGCTAATGCCAGCTTTTTTTAAAGTATTTTTAATTATTTTCTTAGGAATTTGGTTATTTTTCAAAATCGTGACGAAGTAAAGTCCTTCTTCTTGTAAGTGTTCTGTTGTATTACAGATCCTTTTTATTCTAAGAAGCTGTGAAAAAATTGTGTTAATGATGATTCTTTTGGAAATATTAGAATTCCAGTTTGTTAACTTTAGTGTAGAAAAAGTGAATTCTCTCCTCTTGTCGTAGACTTTAATAAAATTGTAATCAATGATATTAAGGTCAAGGTATACTACATTATTTTGCACCGTATTTGTTTTATTTAGCTTTAAGCTAGTTGGGTAGATATTAGCTGCTTCTATTTTGTTATGGTTGTTAATGGCTATGATATCATCAATGTAACGATAAATGTGTTGAAAAAATTTTTGTTCTGCTACGTCCAGAGATCGGACAAATGTCAATTCTCTTGTGAAAAGGAATAATTCGCAGACGGAGCTTGAAAAATTTCCACCCATTGGGATCCCTTGTATTTGTTAAAGATACAATTGTTAAAGAGAATATAATCATTGAAAAGCATGCTCGTAAGAAAAAGTTGCCATTTTTCGTTATCAATTATTGTAGAAATCTGAGGAATTATATCTGGTAGAGCAAGTAAGCTGGTATAAATTTCTTCAAGCGGTAAGGTAGTATAAAGGTTTTCGAAATCGTAGCATTGTATATGGTCGATTTTAATTGAATTAATTGTCTTAATTACGAGTTCGTTACTTGAAATCATCCAGTTGCAATGCAGATCTTGAAAATCATAGTTATTAATCAAGTCACGTATTAAACGAAGTTTTTTTTGCAAAAAGATAATCTATTTCTTTAAGATAACTTTTGGTACTATTGGCAATAAACCTGAATTTAATAGGTGACTTATGAAATTTTGGAAGGGCATAGAGATTTGCGAATCTGTTATTATATTTCCGTGGATGTATTTTAAGTCTTTTATATAGTGCGTTAAATTTATTGATAAGAATTTTAGTGTTGGTGGTAATTTTTTGGTAAGTGCTATTACTATTTAGTTCTTTGTGCAGAAGGTCGAAATAAAACTTTTTTCAGAGAACACTAAAATTGTTGTTAGCTTTGTCAATTTTTGTAACGATAAAATTATCTTGTAGTTTGTTGATTAGATCAAAGAGTCATTTCTTATTGTGTAGAGAGTTGAAAGAAGGTGCCTTGAAGAGTGAATGTTGAAATTCTGTAATCAGCGCAGCTTTCCATTCAAGAAATGTGGTAGTGGGTAAATTGGATTTATTACTAGCTAACATGATAAATTTATCAAGATCTTGATTGAATTGTCTGAGGCAAAGATGTTTATTGATTCTAAAAGTAGGACGAAATTTGGTGCCAAGTTGTAAAAGGTCTCGTAATTCTAAGTCTTCAATGATGTTAAGATCTCCTGTTATCACATGCTGGTGGAAAGGATCGACATATTTTTGGTAAAGAGGCCTGTTGGCAATGACACATGCAATTTTCTTGAATCTCGTGTTGGTTGATAACACCTAAGTTCACCTAAGATGATAACACCTAAGATGATTGACCTAAGTTCTTTTCAAATTTAAAGCAGTGCTTAATTTGGAGTTGTTGTTCAGGAAGCAAGTGTTGATATTTTTTGAAAATGTTAGGTATTTTTAGTTGATCGTAAGAAGGGTGTTTGAATTGTACCGTACAAAACAGTTTTTTGTAAAAAAAATTGCTATTTTTTAGTTTAAAATTGCAGAAGTCTATAATTAAGTCTTTTATGATTTGTAAACAGCTAAAATTTTCATTTACGACTTTAATTAGATTCCACAAGGTAACATTCTTAAATGTATGTAGAAGTTTAATGGCATTCTTAGCAAATTCATTATGTTCAAGGAAGGAATGAAGATTTTTAATTATTAAATTCAGATCTTGAGTAGAAAAAAAATTTTTGTGTTTGGAATCACCTCCTCTGGTACCTCTGGTTGTTATACTGCTAAAAAATCTGAATTGTCCATATATTGAGACTTCTGTCTGTCTGTTGGTGGTATGACTCAGATAAGCATTCAGTCCGTAAGGGTAAAGTGACTTTTTTTGAAGTATGTATAAGGATTCCTTAAAAAGTCTAAGTTTAGTGTTTGGTACAATATCAAGCACGGTAATTTCTATGTTATCAAAATTATGCATATTATAATGCTCGAGAATAGCTGTATGCTGATTATTTTTTGTGAGATTATTGCTATTATTTTTAATTTTTTTAATATGAGATCTATGGTTATTAATTCTGAGGTTGAGAGGGTTTTTTGTCTGACCTATATATGTGAGAGAACATTCTTTACAGGTGATTTGGTAGATACAATTGAAAGTCTTTCATAGTGATTGGTCTTATTAGTATTGGTGGGAAGTGAGTAGCTAATTAGCCTTACAAGTTTTACAAAGCTTGTTGCTTCATTTAATTATCCCTATATGATTGATCAGAGCCTGTTAATGAAAGTAAAGAGGGAGCTAGCCTGCTTTACAGTGTTTTTTGGAAGGAAGACTAACCTATCGTGAAAGTGGAACTGTAAACAGTATCCGGTAACTTAAAAGTTGAAGCTTGAAAAGTGAAATTGAAGTACACATAAACAATCAAACTTATTAAACTTTCAGCGCTTGAGGCTGCTAAAAAGAATATTAATTGAAAAAGAAAATGTAAAGTGAACTGGTAATTAGACGAAAGACCTATCTGGTCTCAAAAACTTTTGCGCATTTCAATTCGATTTCACATTTTTACTTTAAGTTCAAAAGTCTCTTTCAACTTTTCCATTTATTACCTAAATGTGAATATCTGGTTGTCAATATAAAAAAATGTTCATTAAATAGCATTTACGGAGGAAAACATTAACTTCACACAGTGCTTTGATGTACTTTTGTTGTGAGAAGAAATTCTAAAGATTTTATTATCAAAATGAAAAATTATAATTCTATTAACAATATTACCGAACAAATGATCTTGCATTTTTGTATTGGGATATTATATCATCAATGGCCTCTTGTAAACCTTTAGGTGCAACACATTTTTGATCTGCATCAGTAGTTTGTATAACCTGTCGATCTGGAACCTATTAAATACATACAATACTTTTATATGAAAAATAATAAAATAACTGAGAGAAACTACTCAAATCAAAAATTTACTTATATCTACTAGAAGAAATAGTAAAATGTTAATGAATACTTATATTTACTATTTATATGCTTTCACATCTTACTATAGAATACCAACATTTTCTGTTTGATCTCCATCCATTTTTTAAATCCAGTAATAAAAACTGAACTGAAGATTTTATACTGTTTTTGTGGAATTTCAAGTTTTTATCAATTTCATTTTGTACTTTTTTTAATATTACATGCATTTGAATTAAGTACATTGTAATTTATTTAAAGTTGATTCATTTCAAAAATTCAAATTTATAAAGAAATATTTTACTTTTATTGTTCAAAGTGAAATGTAATTTATGTAATAAATGTACTTAAATTATTAAAATTAGAAATTAGCAACTTAAGGAGATTCTAGGAGACTGCAGAACATTTTCAATTAAATTTCAGAATTTAAGAATATTATGCATAAGATATATGACTGAAATTTCTGCAGACTAATTATTTCTTAGGTATTAGAAATGAAAGTTATTAATCAAAATTTTTGACAATTCTAAAAAGTAAAGAATTTTGTAAAGGAGGGAAAAAATTCTCCGCATATACATATGTATAAACAAACTATTATAAAAAAATATTTCAACCTTGACTTTTAATTGGCGACTAGGAAAATCATAATAAAGTGAATCCCATTCATCAACAGTCCAATCATAATCATGCAATACAGATTCAACAAAAAGAAGATTTGATATAGCATCACCAACAGTCTATAAAAGAAGAAAGTAAATAGATTTATTGCTCACATATAACAATAAACATATGTATAATATTGATATTAAAAATTATTATTGTGAATTGAAAGGACAGTTTGTGATTACTCAGAAATATCCATGAAATGTTTTTTAATTCTTCTGAAATATGAATAGAAATTTTATTATATATATGCAGTTTATAAAATTAAACTAGTAAAAGAACTAAAGAACTGAAGGGAAAAGATAGAATTAAAATACTTCAATTATCTTTACATGTTTATTATCTTACTAAAAGAAAATAATAATCACATCTGTAATAATAGACCTTTTCTATGACAATTTGTAACATTTTCAGGTATATTGACAGGATAATTAAATGTATAAACATAGGAAAAAAAGAAATGTAAAATTTTTTTTTAAATTTTCTAAATTCTTTACAGTGCTTTTAAAACTAATCAACACAAGTTATATAATCTACAGTTTAGTTAGTTTTGGAAGTTTGTTTTTGGAAAACATGGTTTATCCAGAAAATAAAGAACATTTAGATGTTACTCTGTTGTATCAAGCACAGTAATTTCTATGATTAATAATATAAACATTGTATAATTAAAACAAATGATATCAAAACAAAATTTTATGCAAATTTATACCAGTTCTAATTCTACTTTTCAATGCAGTTAACACTGTTACAGAGTTAATTTTCATAATTTGGAAAACTTTCTCAATGCTGCTATTGCACTCATCTACCCAAATTGCCATAACTATATAGTTACTGCTTCATGGAGGTTTTCATCACTTTTGAAATGTTTACTCCCAAAAAATACCTTTGTTTTCAAAAACAGATGGAAGCCAACTTGGTGCCAAGTTGGGACTATGAAGAAGATAGTTAAAAACATCCCAAATGAATTACTACTGCAGCTATATGAAATCAAGCATTATCATGAATCAACATGATAACATCAACCCCAATAAACAAAGATCTATATAACAACAAATCTGTATTGCATGGCATATTGAAGATGTTGAAGAGCCTCATAGCTGGCTGCTGACATTATTCTCTGCCCTCTTGGAATGAATCCAACAAGTGGTAGGCCTTGCAGTTCTAAAAGATAGTTGCTACCAGTTTCAATGTAATCAGATTTTCCTTTTCTTTTCTGGATTAAAAAAAAAAAAAAAAAAAAAAAAAAAAAAAAAACATGGCATGCTATTGAATGGCACTTGGACTCAGGTGCTTTGTATGAAATCCTTGTCTCATTTCTTGTTATAAAGTTGCTTTAAAATATGCCACCATGTTCATGATATCAAGTAAGAAAATCAAGGGATACTCTCCCATGCTTTGCCCTGTTAACTTATGTCAAGGTTTGAGGACACAGCAGGTCAAGGTGCATCTTATAGCCATGTGACCTTTGGCAACTTTAAGAGAATTCTCAGATTTTTTGGGAAGAATCATGTAATGATTAAATTCAAATACTTGTTTTCGTGAATTTTTAGTCCACTTTTTTTAACTTGCCCCTAACAACTTATACCTGACTCTTCGATCTTTGTCATACATGTTTACCCTACTTTAAAAATATGCATCACTTACTTACAAAAGCCTTATTCATTGCATTATCACTATAAACTTGTTTGATTTGGCTACAAAACTCAATAGGCTGAACATTCTGTGCAATCTAAAACTGAACAATACTTCAAATTTCACACTAAGTGGGATCTCCTGTAATCAAACCTATTCAGAAAAAAACTGCTAGCCTCACAAATGTGACTGCACAGCAATGAAATTTAGCTGAGGCAGGAGGTAAGATAGAGACAGGTGGTAAAGTTATATTAGGATCATGCACAGGTCAGGCGATCATGCATGGGAGTGGTACGCAATAATTTTTTACTTCTGAATGCTCTCATATACAGTACAAAGTCCATAATCCGGACATTCATTATCCGGAACAATCTATAATCCGGACCTCAAAGCCACAAACTTTTTCTTTTGTATGCATGCATGCACGTTTAATGTATAATGGACGGTATAAGCTAGACTAAAATTATCTTTACTGATTCTTAGGCATTTCAGTTAATATTGCAGACTGCGCTGTTTCTTAATCTTCTAATTAGATCCAGCTTATTATTTTTTGCCGACTGTTAGAGCAATTATAAAAATTAAGCTTGAACTTTCAATTATGTCAAAAAGAGTTTCCAATTCTGGAGCTGCCAAAGAATCTACAAAGCGAAACCACGTTTTGATGTACCACTTCTGATAGTGCAGAAAGTGACAGAGAGGTTATCAAAAACGAAAAAATTTTGATTGACAAGTTAGTCAGTATTCTCGACACAGCAATTACAGGATTTGAACAATGGAACTTTTTAACTGAACAAGAAATTATGTCCGTTTATAGAATTAAAGAGAAAGTATTACCACAAAAAATGAAGCAACTTAAATAACTTACATTGAAAGAAATGTTTAATAAAATACACAATTAAATATGAAGCTTTTTTTTTTTTTTGTAAATTTTGATACCCTTTAGATCATAATTGCTCTTTACTTTATAAATTACCGTTTCATATTTTTAATTGTATAATTTCTGCATGCCATCTTACCAGATTTAAATTGATGATCTATAATCCGGAAAAACTTCTAATCTGGAATTGCCGAAGTCCCGACGAGTCCAGATTATGGACTTTGTACTGTATACACCAATATGCATTCAGGTAAGTTTTTTTTTTTTTTTTTTTTTTAATTATGAATATACTTGCCTCGTTTATCAGATTAATGCTATTCAATAATTTTTGAGCCATTATTTTTCTGCATTCAGAACAAATGAAAAAAAAAAAAAAAAAAAAAAAAAAAAAATCATTATTTAACATAATGTTACTCTCACACTAAAAATTCTAAAAATGACACTTTGAATAAATAAGGAAACTATACCAAAACATATGCATCATTCTATAAATAACATAAAAAATTAAAGGTTTTATATTTCCTAAAAAGCGACATTTATGCAACACAGTGGATTCATTAATTCTATGAATTTTGTATTTTAGGCTTCTCAAATAGATTTCTACTTAGCACAGATTCTGTTTCTAAATATGTTTTACATGCTTAATTAACTTAAACAACATATAGTTATGCAGAATATGAGCACTTAAGTAAAAATCATGAAATAATAATTAGTGTTCCACTTAACTGTTACTAATAATTACTTACTAATTATTACTACAATTCCTAATGATTATTCATTTATTAATTAAAGTAAGAAATTATTAAAGTGAACAGAACTAAATAATACCACAGATGCTTTTTAAAAATATGATAAATGTGTTTCCTTCAATAATAAATTTATTATTGAAGGAAACACATTTATCATATTTTTCAATTATAAATTTTTATTATTGAATTTTATTGAAGTTTCCTAAGTATCTTGATACACGTAAGAAAATACAGCAGTGTGCGTTTTCTATTTTTTATTCCGTTCTTCAATAACATTATTCAAACAACATTTAAAATACTCAGTTTAAACCTAACTCTACATTAATTGACAAACTGAACTACAAATATATTGACAGATAAAAATACAAAAAAATTAAATCAGTTTTATGAAAGAACTAATTCTGCACAATTAACTGAAATAAAAATTTACTTAACTTTTCATTATGAAATTAAAATTACAATTAAAATGTTAACCCATTTGTAAGTCAATTTATTTCTATTAGAAACAAGAGTTTCCTATATTAATGCAATTTCTTTTCTTGTTCATATATATAATATATATATATATATATTAGTTAAAAGAAAAATAATTTTTGTTTTTATATTATAAAGTCACTGAAGGCAAAACACAAGCTACAGATATATATTATGAAAAAATAAATGCCCAATTTATTAATTTCAGTAAGAGGTATAAATCACTAAAGCTCATGCAACAGCTCTCATGCAACAGGTTCTTAATACAGGATGCTTTCAAATCTTTTTGGAGGGAGATAATTTTCATCACCTTAAATCAATATATTACTATTATTATATTAAAAAAACACTTATTATCATAATTAAAGACAAAAAAGTTTTTCCTCATCATTTAAAATAACAAAAATTTTGAAAATTTGTACAATAAACTGAAGAAGTTTTTTTTCTTCTAGTTTCAAAGAAATAATACTTAAAAAATCCTGGATTTTAATGCCATATCTAACAAATAAAATGTCTTAATACTTCAAAATAAGCTGCATTTCCACGTTGAGAATATTTTTCCAAATTCATATTTTTAACTACAAACTTGTTCGAAGTTTTCATTTCAAGGATGTACATAATAAAAAGTACATTTTACCCTAAACACTTATAAATTAATAGGTTACTGTGTTCAACAAATTAATAGGTTACTGTGTTCAACAAATTAATAGGTTACTGTGTTCAATACAGTCTGATATGAGAGCATACTGCAAACATGATAGCAGAAGAAATCACATTTACATAAAATATATTATTTCTGAATGTCATATTATACAGACAACAGTCACTTTAAACTATGTTCTTGAAGAGTTGTGCACTTATTTCCTGATACTCTTACTTCCAATCCCCACCAGACTGCATGATATTAAACACATGATTAAAATACATGATACAGCATGATTAAAATAATACATTGTGCATGCTCCATACAACTACACATTCATTCTATGCAGCTACAATATAATTCCATTCTAGCAACTGAAAACCAGGAGAAAGCCTTGTTCAGAGCAATATGTATGTGTTTATGTATTATATATGTATACAAACACACACACACATGTATCTTCTGAATTAGATTAGATTTTTATTCATGATATACAGAAGGTGTTTACACATTTTTAGGACAATTTCAGTTACAAATTTTAGATAAAGGAAATGCTTTGGAATAAAAATTTCTGGCAACATCTTATTTGAATTGAGAAATATTATCTCCTACTTTTAAATTCATTCCCCTTTCAAAACACCACATGTAAACAAGCTGTGGATTGAAGGATATGTTTTTGTGCTTTCCAAAGAGAAATATTCCTATTTCATAATTCAAAAATTTTTTGAAATGCATGGTATTAAAATTTCTAAACCCAAAATAAGCAAGAACTGGATAGGGAAAAATGATCAATCATTTCCTCTACATAGAAAGAAGGTTTCAAACAAATACCAAAAAAGGTATGTACTTTTCCTAATGTTTCTAAAGTTAAAATGTTGGTAAAAAAATAGAAAATCTGCTTACATGGAAATCAAAGTCTTTAAATACATGTTAGCAACAATAAATAAAATATTAAACCAAGATTTACAATTTAAAAAAAGCCAAAAAAAAAAAAAAAATGTTCACCAGCTTTTAGCGAGGCATCTGACTTGACAAAGAACAATTTGCAGAATCATGTACGAAAGCTATTTAGCAAGAGATAAAATAGAAGTCCTCTGTGACCCTTGCTGAAGCATAGGTTTACCCAAATGATTGAAAAAAAAAAAAAAAAAAAAAGAGTATATCTATTATCAAAAAGAAAAAGAGAGAGAAATGTACAAACCTTTTTCTGTCAATGAAAAGAAAGTTTCACTGAGAGGTTTATGATTTGTTGCAAGATTCTCTTACAATGGGAAATTAAAAATAAGAAGAGTGGGGGAAAAAAATGTTAAAATCAACATACTATCAAGAGAAAGTTTTACCTCCAATATTTACAGAAATTTCATATCTTTATTCCATTTACTTTCATAGAGTGAAATTTCATGAAGAGAAAGAAAAAGTCATACTTCAAAAAAGACCATTGCATTCCTTGAAAAAGTGAAGACTGATACAGGTATTACATGTACATCTTTTCAATGTATTCCTGCAAAGTCACTTATGGACTATTGTGACTATTCACTTATGGACTATTGTGACTCTTGAAAGGAACTCTTTCAAAGCACAAACCCACCGTGGCTGATGAATTCTGGAAAGTAGTGGAAGAAGAATGAAAATCAGGACCCCTGTAAATTTTACAAAAGTCCTTCCACCGTGGAAATCATGAGGCAGACTTATAGTTTCCCTCCCCAAAAAAGGCTAACAGATCAAATATTAAAAAAAAAAACACCCTTTCCATTTTTAACATTAATTAAATCAAAATCATTTTAAAAATATGTAAACACTCTCTGTAGAAAGCAAGTTTATTTGACGAATAAGATTTTAAATGACTTTGCAACACACACTTTATTTAAGAGTGTGTTTTTGTCATGTAATGTGATTTCATTAGATTAATCAATTTTGGATTTCAAGTCTAGTGTGTGTATGTGTAAATTTAAATATACACATCATAACAAACAATATTCAGATACACTAATGTTGTTCCAATGAACCCAATAAAAGAGAAAACACAATATATCCATTATATTATACACAGTATACAATGCAGCATCACAGATTGCAAGAGGTGTATCTAAACGTGATATCAACTACTGTAACTTAAAGACTATCAACTATTTAGTTACAATCTTAAAAAATATTATAATAAAATGTACCCAGCAATGACTATATCTCAAAGTTAATTCTTTCCTGTATATGAATTAAAAATTCGATTTCTATGTGAAATATGTACAGAAAGATACAAACAGCAATTTTTTAATGTATTCATATTTCAAGGAAATTTGAATACAATAAATATAAACAAATAAAGAAACAAAAATACCTGGTACTGCAAGAAAGATTTTTAAGCTGGGATTTTGCATGGTCACTAAATACAACCTGTAATAAAAAATAATTCTAACTCCACATTACATCAGTCAGTAAGTCACCATGAATTTAATATTTCAGTTTCAAAATACATTTATATTATCATATCATAATTTATGGCCATGGTTTCAGTAGTAAAATTATAAAAATCACAATTCCAATTTCTTAAAACACATGCTGTACAGTAAATGCCACTTAATGGGATCACATTTGTTCATGGCTATTTTGATAACATTAACCGGATCATAACATTTAATGATGAGAAAAAATAGCCTTCAAAACAGCAATGGAATTTAACTAATTTAATATAAATATATCTAGAAACATCTAAATAGGTATTTACATAGAATTTTAAATAAGAAAAGCAGAAGTTTATTCATGAATTATTCATAATGTCTTTAATGACACTCATCAAATTTCTGGAAATTATTTGACTCATGTTGTGCCCTTAATCTCAATATTTGGAGGGCATCCCGCATTGGAAGAAAATACACAAATTTAAAATCTTAAATTAGACAAAAAAGCAACCTTAATTTGTTCAGGCAATATTTGTTTTTCAAGGAAAAGTTGAAGATGGTTACTTTGATATTTATTTGATTGAAGAAGACAGACCTGTTCTGATCACCTCAAAATCAAAACGTTATTCAAAATCGACATCAAACTGCTTTTTTGCTTAAATTTAAATGTTTGACTGAAATTGAAACTAAGCTATTTGGTGACTTAACCCATTATTTGATTACTCTCGCTAGATAACCCATTATTTGATTACTCTCACTAGATAACCCATTATTCTCTGTTGATAATTTTTATAATCTATATTAACATATGTCTAGAGAATTTATCTTTTATTTTGTAACTTTAGTTTTAATTGCTAAATGAAATGATAAGCATATATTTTTATATAATTAACAAAAACTAAATTTAAAATTCTACATTCTTTTTTAAAACTTCTTAACATCCTACAGACTGAAAGTGAAACATTTCAGCTTAATAATTTCAAAGAAAGTGAATAGTCACATGAAACAGAAAACACAAAAATTAAACATACTGTGCCATGTCCATTAGCTTCAGCATAGATTCCTATGTCATACTTCATTGCTTCATGGTGCAAATGTTTTACACCTGTAGGCACAAAAACTACAGGTATTTTCTGAAAAATCAAACAAATATCTATTGGCATGATTACGAACAACTAGTGATTATAAACTTACAAAATATTCGAAAAGAAATTACTTTAGCATAGATAATGAAACAGAAAATGAATAAAATGTGCTCATCTCCATTTTATAAAAACTTATCAGATAATAGTAAGTTAATAATTTAATTATGACTTATTAAAGAAGAACTTCAATAATTTAAAATTTTCAGTAAATTGAACTGAATATTTTCTATTGAAAAAATATACCAATTAACATTAACTACTTTTAATAAACTAATAATCTTAAGACTCAAAAAATTTTCATAAAATGAACTGAATTTCAGCACTAAATGATGCTGAAGTTACTTTGTTTACTTTCTGTTCTCAGTATAAGAAAATCCGATGATATTATACCCAAATCAGAAGTTATGGCTCAGATCTTCTGTATAGGATCTTCAAATGCAAAGTAGTTTGAGCCTTGTGATATTTTCAAACATTTTGTGACTGCTGCAAGCGACTGCACTCTTAATTTGAGTATTTAAAAATGTACTTTAAAGAAAACCATTAATTATTTTAGAAATTTAAGCTAAACTTTTGTTTACAGTGAAGCAGAGCTGAGCTGCTTGACATATATTTTTATTTCCTGTTTAAAATATGCATTTTTTAAAAAATCAATGTACCTTAAAATATCATTTTTACTATTGTTACATTAATGCTTTTGCATAATGTTCTTAAGGTGGGGATACCTCTGAATATTAATAACTTTCATTGTAAGTTTAAGCTGAACATTGTCTAATTTTCAACTACAACCATCATGCCACTATAGCCTTATATAGCACTTTTCTAATGTTACTAATTTTTAATAAATGAAAGTCATGATTTATAATTTTTAGTAAAATTATTTCATTTTGAAACAGTATTGTCTAAGTGTTTCATAAACATAAGTTATTTTTTCTATGGCAAAATCATGATCTATAAACAAGTAAGAAAAATATAATAATATAGTACTGTTGTACACTGGTGAAATAAATTAAGAGAATTTGCATATTTTATCGAATTGCATGAAAAGAACTGAACTGAAGGAAAAACCACTGCTTCTAGATAAAAATGCAAATCTTGTACAGCAAATACGTAAGCGTACACGTATGTATAGACGGAGCCAGTAGAAAAACAGGCTTTATAGCTCATGGAGCATAAGACGAATTGCATTTTTTAGCATACCTCAGTGAATTTCTTGGCGTTATCTTGCAGCAATTGGTTAAATTCACATCGGAACAGTAAAAATGAGTAACCACTAATGTTTAGATGACGGAATGAGGTGGTGAATTGTGGGAAGGCTAGAGGCAGGCCAATCGCAAGTCCAGATATGCAGAGAGTTTAATTTAAAGCCCAGCATCGTGTGTAACCTATGGAAACAGTTCCAGGATACTGGATCCATCGAAAGAAAGCCTGGGCAAGGTCGTCCAAGAGCCACGACGGCCAGAGAAGATAGCTATTTGTCCGTTTTAGCGAGGCGTAACAAAAGGGCTACAGCTTCTCAGCTCTCTCGGGACATCTATGCAGAAACAGGAATCCATGTAACAAGGGTGATTGTTTCCAAAAGACTGAATGAGAGAGGGTTGTTTGCCAGAAGACCAGCTGTTTGTGTTCCACTCACATCTACATACAGGAGAGTCCGCAGGGACTCGCTACCTACACTTCAATGTCCGCGAAATCAACAATTATGGCGGCGGCGGTGTAATGGTCTGAGCAGGCATCATGTTGGATGGCCGCACACCTCTCCATGTATTTGACAGAGGCTCTGTGACTAGCGTGAGGTATAGGGATGAGATCTTCGAGCCCTATGTTTGCCTTTTCCTGGATGCAGTGGGCCCAGAGTTCATCTTACAGGACAATAACAGGAGGCCACATAGAGCTCTTCTGGTCGACCAGTTTCTCGAGAGTGAGGATATTCGCCAGATGGATTGGCCAGCCAGGTCTCCAGACCTCAACCCTATAGAGCATGTCTGGGATGCTCTGGGGAGGGCAATTGCAACTCTCAAACCCCCTCCGAGAACCATCCAGGAACTGAAAACAGCGTTGTTGAATGAGTGGGACCAATTGCCCCAGGCACTGATAAACTACCTTATTTCCAGTATGACATCACGCTGCGAGGCCTGTATGGTTGTAAGAGGGGACCATACCCCTTATTAACCCATTTCTTTTGCATCTTCTGCAACCGCTCTTTCAGACCTTCAGACTCCCATGAGTGATACACACGAACATGTGTGTCTATAATAACTGTTGAATGTTTATTTTGTTTGTATTATATCAACCTATGTTCACACCAAATTTTATTAAAATCTGCCCAATAAGTAGTTCTAGGAGATCGTAGATCAAATATGAAAATTCTCTTAATTTATTTCACCAGTGTATATATTGCATACTGAGCAACCCTGTTCTGCATTACAATTTTTTAAATATTATTTACAACGTATGCTTTTGCACTTCAAATATACTGCTTTTTATCATATGGGTAAAAATTACAATTTTTAGAAAATAATTTAAGTTTGAAAGAATATAGCAAAAATGTTTGTTTTCCATAAATTTTTGCAAGCTGCTTTGTATAACTTGTATTACTGCTTTGTATTAGAGACGGGCAATAATGGATGAATTTTTTTGTCATCAAAGAGATATATAATACTAAATTTATATTGTGAATTAAAAAGTTTTATACATTGAGTCTGCTTTTTATAAACTAAGTAAATGGAATTTTCCAATTCCTTATTTATCTTAAAAACCTTTATCCCCACATGTATGTGTGTGTATTCAAATATAATTATACCAAAAGAAACACATTTTTAGAATAAATAAAAATAAAAACTGATGTAATAGTGTGTTATATAAGTTACAGATTTTGTTAAAAAAAAAAAAATCAATGTTCAAACAGAAACGAAAAAAGAAATTATTGGAATATTTTTTATTTATTTTCGTCTATTTTCTTTTATTTTTTTATCTATTTGAACCTTGTTTCATTTTTTATTTCTTTTTTCTTCTATATCGAATTCTATAAATTAAAATAATTAAGTTAATATAAATTATTAAGTAAAATACATAAATTAATATAAATTATTGTTTAGATGTTTTCATTATAAATTAATCAAAATTATGTATTATATAAAATATGTCAAACTTGACAATTATTGACACAAATCAAACAAAAGAGTAAAAATGTAACAGCACAGTGCATGTATATTCAGTTGAAGGTTATGATCCATCCACAGTATTCTAGAAAAATCAACAGATGTAAATTAGGATCCATTCATAGTATCTAGAGAAATATTCATACGTAACCATCCTCAGCACACGGAATAAAACCAAAAAATTGTATAGGATACAATATTTTTTCAGATTTTTTTTATATTAAATTTAAGTGTATAAAGCAATGCATTTAGTAACATATTTTTGTGTTTAAAAATAAAAAATTTTAAAGTAATTTTAAAGAAAGTGTTTCTCTTGGGATTATGGAGAGGGGATACGTCAAATACAATATATCCACAAATAGTAATGCACTTTAAAAAACTGTAAGCTGATTTTCACTCCATAAAAAATTTACATACATTACCATAATTCAATAAGTTATACCCTCACAAATATTTCATTTCCTAAACCTTCAAACTCCATTATTTAAATTTTCAGAAAAAATCAAAAAGTTTTTTAGTTAGATTCCAATGAGATACTTTAATTGATTTTATAAATAAAAGGTCTATTAACTGAATAGAAACTGGATTTTCAAAGCCACCTATTTAGAAAATGATACGTTTATCTAGCTAAGACTTTTCTTTAAGGGGTCATATTTAGATAGATAATTAAACGCTAATTGTAATGCTGATCAAATCCAAAATTCAAGTTGGCAATATAGAAACAAACGCCAGTTTCCTGTAAAGCATAACTTCTTTTAAAAATGATTTTTCTAGCTTTTCTGACGTGAGTTAAAAGTGTTCTTTGTGCTTCCTATCTCATAAGAAACATTTCTTAAATGTTTCCTTTCATCCATACCTAAGTATTTTTTAAAAATTTCTTACTTAGTTATTGTTACAAATAAATCATTTGAGATTTTCTTGTTAATAGAAAATATGCTTACCAATGTTTTTTTGATATACTGAGTTGAACTACCATTAGCATAAGCTGTCTGTATGATTCGTATTGAAAGATTTAGTCCAGTCTGTTCAACAAGTTCTTTGAGATATTTTCCCATCTAACAGAATGCAAAATTTTAATACAGAATTAGTTTTAAAAAATTAACTTTTTTAACATCAGTATTTATAAATTGAAAAATTACATGATTTACTAATAAATTAATGATATTTCTTTTTTAAATTCATCTATCTATAAATAATTTTCATAAAAATAACTTTTCTTTTTGGATTTCATAAATATCATTCATAACCAATCAATTCTTAATATCCAAAAAAATAACTTCATAATTTGATCATATTAATAATATTTATGAATTATCTAGTTAACACTGCTTTTTAGTTAGAATAACATTAATTAACAATAACATTAATTTTTATAACATTAATTATTAATGTTATAAAATTATTAGAATTATACATAATTATTAATTATTATATACAATTGTTAAATTATATATATTTTATATAATTATTAGAATAACATTAATTAACATTAACTATAATTATTTAGCTAGTTTTCCTAATCAAAACATGAAATAAGAAAGAATACATTCTGGGCAAATAAGGAAATAGATTTGCTTTGTTTTATTGAATTATATAAAAAGGATACATAAAAGAATAAAATACACTAAGACCCCGTTTAACGCTGTTTCGGTTTAGCGCTCTTTTATTTCAACCCGGTGATTCTCCAAAATTGTGCGCAGCGCTAGGTTTCCAAATAACATATCCGAAACAGTGTAGTTGTGTTTCTTGCTTTGTGGACGCATTTTTATCATTTGAAACATTTGTTGACATTATTGTAAGTTTAAATTTGTATAATACTATAACGATTAATACAGTGACAAATATTATGATCTTTAGTTTTTATCATGGGTGATAATAAAAAACAAGAAAAGAAAGCAACCAGAAAAAGCATTTCACTGGAAACTCAAATGCAAGTGATTAGAAGATTAGATTCTGGTGAACGTCAATCTCAAATTAGTGCTGCATTGATTTTGGCAACTTCAACAATAAGGACAATTCTTAAGAATAAAGAAAAAATACTGTCATCGGCAACTGCAACTACGTCAAGCTCTGCAACTAGAATTACCCGTTCTAGAAATAACATTATAGAGGAAATGGAAAAACGACTGTCTATATGGATTGACGACGAAATTGAACGCAATATGCCATTAAGCCAATCTATCATAATGCCTTCTTGACAAAAAGGCAGAAAATTGGAAACCCAGAATAGACTGAATGATCTGACTGAGAATTTTATTTGTTTTTAAAAGTATATGCGTTTATATTGTTTTTATTTTTGTAAGAAATAAATGTTTGATTTTATTTTTATTAAAAAAACATTATTAAATTTAATGCCTAACCATTTTTTATCCATCTTCCCCTAACCCCATTATTTACATGTTAAGATAGCCTCGCTTAGCGCTGTTTCGCATCTACTTCGATGGAACGTATCCCCCGCGTTAAGCGGGGTCTTACTGTATAGATAAAAATGTATGTTGCAAATCTAATTAAAGTTCAGAGTAGTTGATTAATGAAGTATGACCATGTCTTCTTTTCACTTATCTCAGTTGTATAAGTGAAGTAAACAGAAAATGCATATAAAGCCATAATTTCGTTTACTATAAATCAGATGCTTGCTACAGAAAAACTCATCAGTAGATATGAAAAAGTTAAGACTTACATAATGCATTCTTAAAGAAAACAGTTTATCATACATTCTGGAATAGAAACTAATCCATACATACACTGCGAGACTGCAAAAATTCAGCCAAAGATGAAAACTGGTGTATAAACTGAATATTAAATTGTCTTATAAATCTATTTGCAAAAGTGAAAACAAAAGGTCATAAGGAAGAATATTGCAAAAAGGTCATATAAATTAGATCCAGCAAGCAATATGAAAATGAATGCTTTCATTATTTTTGAAATTTCAGCTTTCATTTGAAAATTAGAGATCACTACAGAATGAAAATATACTTATGATGTCAATAGCTTATCTTTCTCAAATCTCCCAACTAATTCAACCAAATGATGAGCTTGTTTTAAAACAATATGATGATCAAAGGGAGAATGATGATATTCACTCAGACTCCCGTTTAGCAAAAAGAGAGTTCCGAGAGGTGGAAGAAAATTCTGAATCGAATACCAATTTTGAGAAAGCTGAATAATTTTTATTAAGATTAAATAAAAAAAAAATAATAATTTTTCAATCATTTAACTTGTAATATTATTTTTGTGATCAAATTATTTTGTAAACTCATATATAAACTGTCTTCCAAACTTCAGTAGCAAAATATTTGCTTCAAATTTTTGCCTTAAACCTGAAAATATACAGTATTTCAAATGAAAAGAAATTTTGAAGTATAAATTTTAAAGTATACATCAAATAAAGAATTAAATAATAAAACTTATGACTGATAGAATTCCAAAATATCTTGGATTTGGATAATACTTTTAAAAAGTGTTGTTTTATAAAAGAAGATGCACAATGATTACAAGAAAGTTACTTTAAAATAAACAAATAGCGAATATAGATCACACACAAACTGTCAGACAAAAATTAATTTTTGTTTAATAACAGAAATATAAACCAGTCTCAGAACCATACCCTCTTTAACCTTGATATTTAAATATCAAACAATGTTTTTGAGCAGGATGGGGGGGGGAGCAGAAAAAGTTGCAACAAATCAAAGAAGTAGCTGTTATTTTGAGTATCTCTCTGCATGGATATTATACTATAAGCAGTAAAACTTCCCTAAATGACTCTTACTGATTGAATTCATGTTGCAATATGACATAAAAAGCATTAAAATGAATATTTAAGTGATCTGAAAAAGAAACAGAAACCGCACATAATCAGAAAGAAAAGTGTATTAAAAAAAGACTTACCAATGTAGCTATTTTATCACCATCTAACAAATGGAAAATGCCCTTTATATCTTTATAAAAGTAAACTAATCGATCAGCATCCCCGTCAAATGACGCATATCGTTTTCCGGCTATAATACTGCAACCTAATTTGAAAAAAAAAATCATATTTAAAGCATAAAATAAGTGACAAATCCTTTCTCTCAGTTGCAGAATTGAAAATATATATTTATATATTTTGTACATAATGTATAGAAAATAAATTCCAATTAGACATTAAATGTTTAATCTACATCTAACTTAGTTTATCAATCAATCAAAACATAAAACTGATTCACACAATTTAATAAAAATTTAACAGTACTTCTTTCTAGTGAATATATAAATATAATGTACTATGTTTAAATCAAAATTTAAAAACTACTAACATGCAAGATTCCCAAAGCTCTTCATAAACTTGCAATGCACACTGATTAGATTTTTTTAATTTTTACCTACACAGTTATCTTTATTTGAACAAAATAAGAATATTATGTTTTAATAAAACTTTTGGGAATTTGAGTGAAGACTGTATGTCCTTCTGATATGCTTATCCAGTGCCTGCTATTCTGGATATTGACATGGCTAGGAGCCGTAATTCTCTCCAGTGTGATGCAACCATTTGATGCACAGAATCTAGGAAAACAAACATGGAGAATAGCAGCCACAGACTAGAATGGGAATAGGAATCTAGCAGAGTGTCTTGGATACATTTATATGAAGTATCGCATATTTCATAGAACTGTTGCAGCCAAGTACCTGCTGAAATACCAATCAATTTAATCACATGTTATCTACCTTCATCATATCATTATTAATCTTAAAGCGGCATTTTTAATCTTAAAGCGGCATTTTTAATCTTAAAGCAGCATTTTTAATCTTAAGCAGCATTATTAATCTTAAAACTGGTTAGCAAACAGGCAAGCTACATGAAATGTAACAGAATATTGCTCAGAGAATATTTTCAGTTCAATAAAAACATTAAAATGTGTTTTTTGTATACATTAAATCTACAACAAACTCCTAAATTTCTAAAATGATACTGAAAGAAGAAATTAATTTTTTTACATCTGCTATTCTTACTCAGTTATTTAGAAGTCATTCTTAACTTAAGAAGTAAGTGAAATTCTAAATGTCTTAAGCTAACAATAACAGCATAAAAACATCTCTCTTTTAATGATGGGTCTTGTTCATGAACGAGATGTAAAATTACTACAAGACTACATTTGTACATAAATAAAAGAAAAACTGAAGCTTTAATCCAATTCTCCTTAGCTTTAAGAAATGCTATATTAGTTTTCAAATTACGAACTACTATGAAAATTTTATCTGCCAAAATATATTTTATCCAAATTCCTTTTTTAATTTGCCAACTGCTGGTGTACAGAGGAAACAGGAAGAAGAAATTAAAATTAAAGTTTAATTAAATTTGAGTTAAAATAACATGCCAAATAATGATAACAAAAATCAGCCCATCCAATAAAGTTAAATACTTAACAAAAGTAAAAATAAATTTTATTACTCAAAATTTGTAACAATTAAAGGAATTTAGCCAACATTTGGCTAATTAAAAATGAAGAAATTTATTTTGAATTGCAGCCTCCACTCCCCCCCTAAAAATATATTAATAATCCAAATTGAAGAAATAGCTACCGAAAAATAATTTTATCCAACAAAAATACGAATAATAAAATTAAATACTATAATAAAAAATGGCGATTGCTTGGTTGATCAATTTTAGATTTTCGTATTTAATTCACTTTCACATTTGAAATGATTTTAGATTTCTATTTAGTTTTTTTTTTTCCTTATTCTCACATGAAATAAAATTTCAACATTTTTCACTAACTTTTAATTATATTTAATATTTTAGTTAACATAATATGTATGGATTAGCACACACTGGAAATCTAATGCATCCACATTTAAGATATTCAGATTAAACAGAGTATTTGAGAAAAGTGGTTACAGACATTGTTTTCTTAAATATTGATTCTAGACATGTATTAAGCAAGTGAAAAAGCTTCTCAATATAAAGTAAAGAATTTTATGAAAACAATTTTAATATGGGGGACAGACGAGTTCTCTCTCTATATATTTTACATGGTCTTTGTAAAGCAAAAAAATCCAATTAAGAAAATACTAACTTATTCAGTAAAATAATTAACTACAAAAAATTCCATACTTTCATGTGCAAAAAAATTAGGGATAATCTACATTTTAAATCGCTTTTCTGGTATATCTGATGTATATCATTTTTTAATATCTAATATTAAGCAGTTTCAGTAAGGCTTTAAAATAAATTTAGGCGAAACAATAAAGTTTTTTTGGGGGGAAGGAGGCAATGAATAGTCCTCCACTAACAAAATAATGCTTACTATATGTAATGCATTATTAACGAAATTATTAACGACTAGTACCTGTGTGAATTTTAGATGCAAACATTTGGAAAGCTTTGTATTTAACTTTTTTAAACATTTTACAAACTGGAACTTTTATTTGCAAAATCAATACCAGAGAAAAATGTTTACTTACAGAACCCTTCTAACCCCTAATTCTGAAAAACATTTTCATAAAATTTTCTACTTTATTTTAAGATCAATTATAACAAAGTACACACAAATAGGATCCATATTTTAAGCAAATATAGCTTTTCTCAAATCCTCTCATCCTTATTTAAAATTAGTATGAAAATATATATTATATCCGAATCAATGATTTAAAGAAACTCATTAATACTCTTTCCTTGCATATTACCCCCCCCCCCCCCGGCTCAGATTTTGAATGCCAGGTTTTGAAAATTTTTTAAATATTCAGAAAATTTTACCCTTCCTCAGTGCATTCAAGGAATGAGCTCTCCTAAATTTTAAAATGGATTCATATGTATATTGATTGTTTACATCTTACTAACAAAGACAAATTCTTGCAAACTACCTGGCGAAGTCACACCAAAACTTTCTTTTCTAACCGCTGATCTTTATGCTAGCCTAAAACAAGAATTAACCAATAACAGCAAAGCAAACACAAACTGACATTTAGTCTACAATTTCACTCAGGCAGCTGCACTTTTTCTAATTATTTATGGATGATTTGAAGCCTAAGGAGTAAAGAGGTATCACTTGTAGCAATGGTCCCTGTTAGAGGGGACTATTCCAAGAAATGAGATTCTGGTAGCTCTGGTTTAACAGGAGGATTCCTCAGAAGAAGAGCTTCATTGGAAAAGAAGTCCCGCCTAGCTACGGAAACCATGTACCGGCTATGGGGGATTTTTTTAAACGTTCTGCTTCTGAAGGATCACATGATCGCAATCTGAACAATAATTGATTACTGTTTGCCCTTCAAGTCTTTTCAGTAAGTGAAAATGATAACCTAGCTACGCAGGTTTCCTGGAAATGTGCAGGTTCTGAGATTTGTCCTTTTCAATGCCAAGTCCCATGTAGCTGAAACATAATGTGACTGGGACCTAACATTGACAACAATAAGAATGGGTGAGATTCAAGCTACAGGGAAGCAGAAATGAAAATATCTTACTCGATATTATAATGTTACAAAGTATTCTTATCAGACTGTAGTTTTTTTTTTAAAGAAATAAGATTGTGGTAGTTACCTGTAGCTCATCCATGGTTATTTTTCATTTATTGTGTTCTTACTGTATATGCATTCTTTGGAAATTAAATTATTCGCATAACTTCCACCCCCCTCTTGATTTTCAGATGGTAAAATTAGTAAACAAAGGGGGAATATTATACACAAAGAAATATGGTAGAACATCACTAGACATAATGATATGTTATAAGATGTTTACAAAAATTGCAAAACAAAAAGCAATTTAAAAAAAAATTATATATACAATACCTTCAGGAGGTTTCTGTTCAATTTTCACATAATCTGCACCACACTTAAATTTAAAAAATATATGTCAGGTAAAGTCAGTTTAAGGACAAAAACAACACAGAAAAACATTTCCATCAAAATTACCAGAATTTCATATTTACAAACTGATAATACTATAAGACTTTAGAAAAAAATTTAAAAGTGATTTTTAACAGATAAAAAAATATTTATTTTATAAATTTCGGTTTTTGATACTAAAATAAAATAACAAAATTCATTTGCAGATTCTGTTTAGATTGTAAATTTTTTAGCTGTACGTAAGCATAATGAAAAAGAATTTTATAACTGTAAACTCTTGCCTTTTTATAAATATAAAAAATAATGATTTTTGAAAGTAACAAATAACAGGAAAATAAAACGTAAGACATATTTTGCAAACTTTTATTTCTCCATTGTTAATGGACTGCTAAATCACAATGGCTTAGTAAAGTATCAATTTTTATGATATTCCTTTATTGGCATGCTAAAGCCAGACTCTCATTTCTGTCACATGATGGAGAATTACTTCAAATATACATGTATCTAGCCTTTTCATTTAAAATAATCTGGTCAAAAACTATTAATATTCAGTAATTTTACTCATTCAGTTGCTCATGAGCCTGCTTTCCAAATACAGTAGATCAAAAGTTATTATGTTTTTGTTCATCAATATACTTACGTTTTACAGAACTTCTGTATTAACGTAACCACTTTGGTGCAATTTTGAGATTTTTTTTTAACAGATGAGGTAAAAGTTACTTATCGGGTGCATGTTTTTTATGACTTTTTCTAAAAAATTCACAAACTCTGATGTTTATCGTAAGTCGGTAAACATTATCAGCATTTGAAAAGAAAACATACTATTTAGCAGTTTAGAATACAAATTTTAATTATAAAATAAGGATTACACTGAAGAGACATTACGATATGACTACTCTCCATCTATAACCATCGGCTTGCCAAGGAACAAAACCAATGCGTGTACACAGCTGTTGTTGGAGTATACAAAGCGGCTATGCCTTGTCTTTTCAAACATATCAACCCATCTGTCTTTTCCCTTTTTTTCTGTTATCTCAGCCTTCTGCCTTCTAGACATCATAAAAGCTTTTCATCGCGTCTGGCATGAGGGGCTCATCAACCTTCACTTTTCTAGAGAACTTATTATCCTGCTTCACTCTTTCCTGAGAACCCAGAGCTTCTGTGTTTCCGTTGGCTCTCACATCTCAGAAGACAAACCTATTTAGAGTAGTGTGCCACAAAGAAGTATTATTGACCCGATCCTCTACCTATTTTACGCGGTAGATTTTCCAAGACAAAGCTCCGCTACTAATTCACTGCTGGCATGTTACACGAGCGACACAGTCCTGGCTGTTAAATCCACTAACACTAGCCATGGAATTCGCAAACCTCAAGACAGCATCCCTAAAACTGAGGACTAGTGCTGTAAGTGGAAAATCTCCATTAATGCCCAGCTACTTGTTATTCGACACACAAGGAAAGCGCAACCTGTGAAGAGCAGAGCCTGATTTAGACTTTTATAAAGCCCTAAGCTATTTGAGGTATGGGGCCCTTTATAAGTCTGTTATTTTAATACTATATTTTAATTTTTTGGGGGCTAAGCTACAGTTTGTGTAGCTTACCTTTGCAATAGTCGAAGATGTCCGTTTTTTGCTTGGATACTCATTTGGAATTTTTGTCCCACTTTAGGCTCCAATTTGACGTTTTTTTCCTTTCTTGTTGATGATATTACCTATTGATGCTTTAGATATCACAAAACCATGACTCTCACGTCGTTTTTGGATAACGGAGTATGCATATTTCTCTTCGGAAAGAGCATAAATGTAGCCTTCGATCCACTGCTTTGTTAAATTCCCCATTTTGAATAAAAACAAAACTTTCAAGCCACAAACTATAATTTTGACTTTTAAAAACATAGTACAATTGCAATTACTTCTTTTGCATCAAACGATTTTTTATTACTGCTTTCCAAAATCGTCTAAAAATTGTGCAAACTGCCTCTGTATTCAATCAAAGGTTCTTCGCTACATTAGCAATGCTCATTTTTATGTCAGCAATGAACATTTCCATTCGGACATAAAAATTGACTTTATCAGCGATTACCTGACCAAGACCAATGACCATTTCTTCAACAGTGCTAAACAGTGCGACTTTCTCTCCTACTTTGGGACATTCCATTATGAATTACTTAATTAGGATCGTCACCTTCAACCATTGGTTGCCCACTGGTTCATGAAAAACCAAATTTTCTCGACTTAAAGTCTCTGTTCCTAAACAAGAACTTCCTACATTATTATTTTCAATTTTTCTCTGTTCTTTAGAAGATAATGTGATTACTCCTCCATGCACCAATCAGACGCCTACATTCCGTAACAGAATCCACTACTGTGACTCTGAACAAACCTTTTCCTTAAAATGTTCAAACTAACTTTTTATGTGTATGTTTTGTACATATTTTTCTGACTATTTTGATAGTTCATATGCCATATTTGTATGGAATTTTAAAGCTCTGTAGCAAGTTTTGCACCTTTCACCATCTCACCCACCCTAACCAACACATCACCGTCAAGTGCCCTTCGAACCTTATTTCATGGAGCTCAAACACATCTCACAAACAGTGCGATATCTCCGGCATAAAGTGGAACTTGGAACTTCTTTCCTAACATAGTGCGATAAGCAACAAAATGGAAAAAGCAGCTCATTTATCAGACTTTGATAAAGGTCAAATTGTTATGGCTCAATGACTGGGAACATAAATATCAGAAATGCCACGTTTAGTGTTCTGTTCTGTTCACGTGCAGTTGTTGTGAGCTCATATCGAAAGTGGTGTATAAATGGCAAAACGATAAGACATCGACCAGCAATGTGACGTCGACCCCGCATTGATTCCAGAGGAGAGCGGAGATTGCTGTGCATTGTTCACCATGACCAAAAAGCTACAACAGCCAAAATCACCACCATCTACAACAATGGCGACCCAAACAGTGTTTTTCAACACACTGTGCAGCATGCATTGCTGCGTATGGGCCTACGCAGCTGGAGGCCGAAGCATGTCCCTGCAATGCATCTGCAATGGGCCCAGAAACATCAGAATTGGACATTAAAAGAATGGAAGTTGAATGGTCCGACGAATCATGTTTTCTGGTCCATCATATCAATGGGCGTGTGCTAACATGGCGATTTTAAATCAAACCCCTGCTCCCGGATGCACAGTTAGACAGAAACAAGTTGGTGGCAGGGGTATTATGGTATGGGCAATGTTTTAATGGAGCAGATTATGACCCATGATCACCATAGAACAATCCATGACATCTCTGCACTACGTGAAGATTGATGCAGACCAAGTTCATTCATTCATGACAACAGTATTTCCGGTGGAGGATGGTGTTTAGCAACAAGATAATGCACCATGTCACAAGGGTCCAGTCATCAGGGAGTGGTTCATGGAACATTCCATTGACTTCCGAGTCATGTTTTGGCTTCCAAATTCACCCGACATTAATCCAATAGAGCAATCATGGTCCCACCTGGAAAACCAAATTTGTGCTGCCACACTACCCCCTTGCAATGCGTGAGAATTGCAGGACCAGTTGGTGAGCACTTGGTACCAGAGACCTTAGACTACCTATCAGCATCTTATGGAGTCAATGCCATGCTGGATGCTGGCAGTTTTGAGGGCTAAAGGTGGTCTTACATGTTATTAACAGGGTGGTCATAATGTAATGACCCTTCCGTGAATACGCTATATTAAAAAGGAAGTAAAACACATTTTTCTTCAAATCTCTGTAATTTTTTGAACCATACTTCTCCTGAAGTACATGGCAATCTGTTTTCACTTGGGGGTGGGGACAGATAATTGTGGAGACTCGGCTTCATGCAAACCTCAGCAACATGGTAGGAAGATATTTCCTCCCTATACATTTAGAAATTTTCAGCAAATTTCTGTATTCCTGCAAAAGTTTTATTGCAGTTTCTTCCATTGTAGGAAAATTCAACAAACTCATACTTTAAATTAAGCTTAAGGCAAAAAATTATCACAATTTGTTTATAAAAATTATTGGAACTTGCAAAAAAGAATGCATACAAAAATGGTAGCGTTTGAATGAAGGATTATTATGAGCATGGTTGCCACAGTTTGGCCCATTCTGAAAATTTGGTGACTTCTACTAAAGTGATTGCATTAATACATAAGTATCCATTTATCATAAAATTTAGGAAAAAACTTATGACTTTATGTAATTTATTTAAACAACTAGAATAAAATATATAACTTTTTGAAATTTTCAAAATGCCACTGTATGTATTAACGGTAACTTGAAAGTTAAAAAAAAAGAAACAAACAATATTGCTAGGGCAGTAAGAATCAGCAAACGTGTATCCACTGTATCTAATACAAATTTAATATTAACTTAAACTACAAATTTAATATTAACTTGCAATACAAATTTAATATTATGTGAAATATATTTCAATATCCATAAATATTATCTATATATATATATATATATGATATGATGATATATATATATTATGGATCATATATATTATATTATATACATTATGGATATTATATATATATATATATATATTATGGATGATATGATGTTATGATATTATGGATAATATCATAATATTCATTGATGCAGCATGCTTCAGACATGCAAATTTGTTTGGAGAATGCTGATGAATGAGATGAATTGTTGAATATTCATAAATTAGACATCTAGAAATGGCTGATGAAAGAGAAGCTAGGATTCTACAAAGCTTCTTTAAAGATAAAATTCTATCATAAGCAAAAGCCACAATAGATAGTATAAGTTAGATTAGAATAGATAATATAAGTTATGGATTCAATTAGTAATTTATTGCATGAAAAACCAAGTTCATTAACTCTAAAGTTAGTAAATTAAGTTAATAAAGTAAACACAGATAAGATCCTAGTTAATCCTATGAACATAACAAAATAAATAAATAAACTTTAGAGCAATTTGCATAATGCAAAAATTAATTTTTGCGCTATCAGTCAATCAACTCAATCTTTAAACAGTACAACTAGCGTGTTTATTTTACATTAGGTCATATAGATCAATTTTATTAATAATTAAAGAGTATTTTACTGTTATTGAGATGGGATTCAGAAATGTATGTATGTATATACTATATATACATGCATGGGTGGATGATGGGTGTACATATGTATGTATGAGTGTATATACACACATAACATATGTACGTACAATTCAATATTTATTTTTTACATTTATAGCTTACTTGATACACTTTCATTGGTTCTTTACTGTTATAGGGATGAATTGAGAAATACATGTATGTATGTATGTATGTGTATATATATATGCACACATACATACATATTATTATGTATATGTTACTGTGAAAGACCGAAATTGGAGAATGTCAACGTTCACCAAATACGTCGGTGAAAGATCGAATATTGCATTACAGTCTTGTATACTCAGACCCTCACTGGTGTATGTCGACAATCACAAATATGCTCTGGTGTACGTCGAAAAGAGAGGTCATAAAGAGTCATAATAGTTTAAGTTGTTGCAATAAATAAGATTTGAATCACATGATTTAGTAAGTTTTTTATTACTATTGTTTTATTTTCTCATTTAGAATGTACTGTATAATTAAGTGAGTTTTTAATTACCATTATTTTCTTTCTCATTTTGAATGCACTGTGTGTTTTCAGTTAAGTCTCAAGTGCGTTTTTTCACAACTGAATTACGGAGAAGAAAATATAATATTCTTATATGTTCAACATTCACCATTAGTACATGATGAATATCAACATTTACCTGTATAAATCTGAAATAAGAGTATTTGAAAAATATTTCGACATATATCAAGCGACTATGTGAATGTTGACATTCACCGGTGAAAGTCGACATTCTCCAGATTTCCGTGTTTCACCGTAACATATATGCATACATATTATTATGTATATAAACTAATACCTACATATGATTATTATGATAAATGCATGCATACATATATTTCTTAGTCTGTTTGCAATAACAGATAAGGATCAATTGCATTAAATAAGCTATAAATATAAAAAATAAGTATTAAATGTTTAGTAATAACTTATTAAGAGTTATAAGAAAATTAATACTAAATATTTGATAATTATACATTAATTATTCAACACTAATATTTTTAAAACATACTCTAAAACAGCAGAGGGTAATTAATGCACATTTAGTTTCTTTCCTTGATACGATAAGGATTCACTGCAAGATTTTTTGCATAATACTACTTACATTTTTGCTCATGTACATGCAGAGTGGATGGAACAATGAAAAATGCTATGAAAATTATGTTTAAGGAAACCTTTAAAATAGTAACAATATGTAAAGAAATTTTTAATATCTTTTTAGTATGCTTAATACAAGACAGTTCAGGTGACATATACTACATTTGTCTTTTTTTTCTTTGTCTTTCTTTTCTTTTCTTTTCTTTTTTTTTTTTTTGAAGCAAACATTTTGACGGCTCAATATCTTTGACTCATGGGTAGGGAGAATGTTAAATTATAATGTAATGTTAACTTACACATATCCAACATGATTTTTGTAATACATGTAAAAAACCAGTGGTAAGATTCAAATAATTTAATAACCACTTCACTGCATAAATAAGCATCAATTATCTATACTAACTTAAATAACTATAAATTGCCTTAAAATACTATAATTTAGTTTTAACAACTAGTTCACAAAATTAGAAACATTTTAGGATGTGATTCTGCTGAACTGGTATAAACTGGCTACATCCTACTATATGCTGTAAAGTGAAATTTTGTTCTTTGATCAAAACCGTTCTAATTTGATGTTCTTTGGATTTTGCTGTCATTAACAGTCAGGATTTGAAATCTTTATACTTTGATTTTAATATCCTGTAAGTTTCTTATATTCTGCTGTATTACTGCTTGCAAATATATCAACTAAGAGACCAAGTGGTGTTAACTATGGTACTAATGGTACTAACATTAATATCTGTATATATAAATGCTCAAAAAGTAGCTTTAATTAAAAAAAAAAAAAAGGTTAGGCAAGAAATGTTTGTAAAAATACTGTGCGAAGTGAGTTTTACACTTTTTGGCTGAAAATTACGTTAAGAAAAGTTTAAAGTTGCAGAGCATTTTTAAAAGCATTAACTTAAATTATTTGTCTTTGTTCTAATCTTTGCTTTGATACCACAGCAATATGTAAGTGGAGTGAACTGGTGTCAAACAAATGTTTACTAGTGCATAGGGATGATATCTATCTTCTATTATTTTCTGCAGTTCAGCATTGGTCAGCCTGTATTAAAACAAGAAAAGGCATAAGATATAACATACCTTGAAATTTAAAACTCCTTTGCTTCCATCATTAAAAACATGGACTTTTAACAAATTCAGATAATCAAGTAATTCTTTAAATTTAAGGGCTCCAATACCATTGGCACCATCAACAAACAGCTCAGGATCATATCTTTTGCTCTCCTTTTCCTTAAGAATGGGAAGGAAGCATAATTATGGATATTGTTTACAATGATTAATTTGTTACAAATGTTAAAAACAAAACAAAAAAAAATCCCAATAATAAAAACTAGTAATTACATATTAATGCAACCACCTTGGCACAATTTTGTGATTCTTTTACAGATGAAAAGGTACTTATCAGGCAAAAGTCGGTGGTTTTTGCCCCTTTTTTTAGAAAGATTTAAAAAAAGTACATATAAAATTTGCAGAGAAAATGTCGACAAAATAGTCATTGGAGTTTAGAGAAAAAATTCATCCCTCAAATAAATAAATATTTGCTACACTAAAACATTGTATTATAAAATATTGTTTTACTATGACAGCTTCCCCCTACATTTCAAAGTATAAAAGTTTACTTCTAAGTTTAAATTATAAACTTATTTCCAGTAACAAGAAACAAAAATAATCACATTTCATTACCCAATGTACTACAGAAGATTAACTCTGAACCAACAAGTACTTAATTATGACAATGTTTTATAGTATTCGCTTTTATGGGCAAAATGCTTCTTGAAGGAGTATTGAAATACAATTCCATTATACAAGAAATTTCACAATATATTCATGAAGCCAGCTCACAGTATTGCTGGACATAGAATCAAGGGTGAAAGCCTTAGTGTTTGGAGGGTTCTTACTTTTCTTTTACCTTTAGTGGGTACCTAGTACAACAAAAATATTAATAAATAGGTTAATACTGTAATTTTTTAGACAAACATTTAAGTACTTGTGCACTAACTGTTACCCAGACGATCAATTAAACATATTTTTTTTTTTTTTTTTTTTTTTTTTTTAAATTTTCAGTGAGTATTATTTGGCAGTGAGCATGCAAAATCATATCAGATTATTATTTGTCACAGCTTATCCAAACCAAGCTATGAACACAGCCAAGTAAGATGGCAATCGATTGCTTCTGCTTCTTTTCTCAGAAAATCTAGTACATACATTTTGTAAAATGCAGAAGAACTTAACACAAGATAAATAAACATTGTCCCGAGGATTTTCTGAACCAAAGAAATTATTAAAAAAATTAAAAATGAAAGGCATAAGTGCAGATTAAACTTGCTCTAACTGGTCTTAAGTTGATGTTGAAATAAGAAAATAAGCCATCTTCGTCTGCCTTAACCTCCCTCCCAAATGAGAATATTAACAAAAAGAAATAAAAATCCTGTCTTTCTAAAAGTATCCAGAACAACTTCTAGGTTTGCAGAACACTTGCAGGAATCAGTCAGACATGGTATCAGAGAGTACTATCTAATACATAAACACCAAAAATTGCATCTTCATTTTTTGTAAACAGCACATGGATCTAAGACAATAACTGCATTTTTCTGAAGCATCATATGCAGTACATTTAAAAAATTTATAGTGTTTCCGTTATGTGTTTTCTTCTGTCTCATGTACACAGAATTCACAGCAATAAAAAACGTGAAATTACCATTTTAAGAGCATACATACAGCAAACTAGAATTTGATCAATTTTTACAGGATCTGAAGTTTAGCTGGCTCATTTCAGTACAAAAAAGCAGACAAAATATCATTAATAAGCTGTAAATCAGATTTCATAAGTATGAATGATATATGTTATAAAAATTATTATCCACCCAACCAGAATCATGGTTAGTGACTCTGACTGCTGTACAGAAGGGCTTGGCTTCGAATCCCACAGATGGCATAAATGCTTGTAAATTTATAGCATCTCTGCCGCATGGGGGCACTCTAAATATGCGGCAAGCCGAAAGTCCCCTCCAGAGGTTGGTGGTAGGAAAAGACAGTTGGGAGACCTTCAAACATATCTTCTCAGGTGCTTTCCATCAAACCTGGGTACAGAACTGAGCAAAGTTATAGCACCATCTGTATGGTGCTCAAAGCTCTTGACAACGACAGGTACAGGCTTTGCACTCATTGCCCCGATGAATTTCGTGGGCTTGTTCTGATGTTGCTGTCAGACAAGTCACAACAATAACAAAAATAATAAAATAAGTCACAACAATAACAAAAATTATCAAACAACATTTTTAGTTAAAAAAAATCAGCAATTTTTATATTATTAATTTATTTATTTCTTGTTTGTAAGCAAAATCACCTCACAAAAAACAGCACAGCAACTAGAAATTTGGAAAACTGAGAAGTTCACCAGCCAAAAACCAGCAGTTTCAGAAGGTTGTCGCACTGCATGGAGGCCCCATTTTAAAAGAACTCATGTCTGATTCAAACTAATTTTATAAAGCATGACTCAGTTTATTCAACTATTTATATTATGAATCTGATATAAAATATATTAATTATATATTCTAACTTTATGTTCTTTAGATAATTTCATTTTGCAATATTTTTTTAATAAGAAAATTCTCATTATAAAACTTCAGTTTATCAAATTACTTTTAAACACAGTAAAAAATGAAATTAGTAATAAATGTGCATTCTATTGAGTGGATAAACTTAGTAATGTACCAGACATTTTTTGCTCCAATAGTGGACGTTTGCCTGTAACGGCATTGGCCACTACTAAGGCCAAAAGTGGTGGCCATTTTATTGTAGAGGCACCTAATAGGCAGCCATTGTACCTCCTGTGAAGGGACAGATAATTTTACATCCATGCTTTCTCCAGGATTAGAACCCAGGCTCTTTGTTATTGCAGTCAATCTCCTCTAGCCACTATACTGCCTGGGTGGCACCAAACATTTACAAGACACTTTCTTCAACTTTACTACATGCCTTCATGGTGTAATTGGAAGCACATTCTGTTAGCAGACGGAAGGTTTGGAGTTCAGATTCCAGGAAGTACACTGCCCATTGTTTTACATCTCTTGCCTCCAAAAATCTTTAAAATCACTTTACAGTGTCACAAAACTAAAATGTGGTGGATGATAATTCGTCACTCATAGCATCTAGTGACCATTTCTCAAGCCACATGTGCCTTAATAATGTAAATGGAAGTATGCCCAGCTAGCAGTTGGAAGATCAGGAGTTCAAATCCTGGTGAAAACAATGCATATTTTTTGTTTCCTGATCTGAAATGAACCTAATGATTCTGCATATTCATTAAAACAAAGTTAAATACAAACATTTATCAATTAAGCATTTGCTTGAATCTTTATATAGAATTTTATAAATGTCTACAGTAGATTTAAGATAATTCAAATCAAATACAATTTTTTAAAAAATTATGCTTAAGATCACTAGGAATGGGAGAATGAAATCTGTATGATTTAGATTTATTAATTCAATAAAGGAACTTGAACTGTGCAAAGTTTATTCATGCAGTTTTATTTTATTGCTGAAAAATGCTTTCCTTAGTCAAGGATAAAAATTATAAAGAAAGAGATTTGGTTTCCTATTAGGAGACTGGGAGGCGTGTCAAGAAACTGGTACAGTTGGCAGCTATACAACAGTCATCAAATGAAATGCATGTTTCATAGCAGGTATAGTTCTAGCATTTTTCTAACATTTGGATGATCAGTATAATTAGCACCTCATATATGTTAAATATATTAATAATTAAAACCAAAATATACCTTTTTAGCTGTTGCTTTACGGAAAACTTTGTTGGCTTCCTTTAAAAATTACAGTGCCTTAGGAAATGCCTATGTGGTATATGCTTAAAGTCAGCTGTCCTTAACAGCCTTAAAACTAGAACAACTCATGTTTTCAGTATAAAGTAATAAGTTGCCCTTGAGTATATCTCTTGAGCTGTTTCTTATTTCCCCTCCCTCTCTAGAATCAGTAGAAGAAACCAGATTTGAGAAAAATCTTGATAAAAATAAAGTGAGACCAGATAAGAAGGAATGTACTATATACGTGCAAAAATATTCATTTTACATAGGTACCTATTCGCTTAATATGGAGAACAATCACTTTTATATAAAAATTATATGTGTCAGATCAAATTATTTTAGTAATGCATTATTCCAGTATTTGAAATTGAGTTCAATTAAAGAATTAAAAATATACAAGCAATATAAATGCCTATTAATTTTCTTGTCAAAAGTATATTTTCTCTTATACCTTTTTTTTTTTCCTTTTCCTTATACTTTTACTTTCAGATGAACTAAATTTCTAAGCTTAATGATCGAAACTTCACTATAATTTACCTTATCAAGTAATGATATAGCATATTACATAAAAAATGGCTGTTTATTACCCATTTTACTGAAAAAGAAATGAAACAAAAAAACTTCATTCTGGTAATTTTTTAATTTATTTCAAGTTAAAATGTACCATAAGAGAAATTTTTACCTTTCCAGATGAAAGCAAAACATTATAGGCATTGGAAAGTTTTTCATAATATCCTTCTACTGTAGGTTTTCCATAGAGGCTATTATTCTGGCAAACAACTACAAAATGTAACTGTGGAGTAGTCAATAAACCTGCATATATATAAAATGAAAAAATGTTTGCTTGTAAACAGCTAGCAAATACAGAAAACATTACACATATACACACAAAGACATATGCATACACACATACACTACCACATTTATACACAGAGAAAGAGAGAGCCAAGAGATAATTGAATAACAAACAATATACATTTTTTTAAGTCAATTCCTACTTAGGTCAAGAAAGAAAATTTTTAGTTTAGTTACTTTTTATTAACATTATTATTAACGTTTTTTTAATTTCTAATTCATGAAGCTGATGGTGGTCTATAATTTCTCATTCTACCCATCTCTTGATGCTCTTGAGATGCATCTCGTAATCTTTGATTTCATTTATCTAAGCGTTGGAGCTTTTCTTTTGTTTCATTTGCAAGCTTTTCTTGGCACATATGTCTTTCTCTAATCGACACTTGCATTGTGTTTGACACTTGAATTAGTTTCTTTTCGCATTCTCCATTTGTGAAGCAAAAGGGTTATATTTTAAACATATATTATTATCACGTTAGCATAGAAATATGGGGAGAATTTTCGTTACATAATGGGACATTACATCTACTCCATTCAACTCTATAAAACTGCAATTCTTTAATTCCATACACTTTAAAAATCTTTAGACCTCTGTCTTACTGTTGCCAATTATTTTTGTTAAATATTACAATCCTATTTATCACAGTCATGTACTATTATTTATAAGTTGTTATAAAATTAATTTTTACAGCACGTGAGAATTCTTAATAAACGGTCATTATTTGTAAGTCTTATAATATATTTAATAAGAACAGCATATCTTTAGTTCCGATAAACAGGAATAAATAAGTAGGAGTTGACTTTAATATGTGAAACTATTGTATTAACATCAAGTATCATCCACTACAAGTTTAAAAAAATGTATTTGAACTTGAGTGGATGAATAAAAAGTATTTTATTAAGGACTGAAAATTTGAACAAGATGTAAGGAGAGTGTGGCTAATAGTAATAATTTAAAAAAAGGGGGTCAACATAAGAAGTTCATCAAAAAAAGAGCACCAATATAGGAAGTACATATATCAAAATTCTGCAATGAATAAATGTATGATATATACATCTATTCAAAAAGTACTAATATTAATCCTACAGTGTCAAGAAAGCACTTAACACGTTGAGCGCCCCGTCAGCCATCTGTGGCTGACACTAGACTTTCTGTTTAGGGCATGTCGATCGCCCCTGGCTGACGGTGTGTAACATGATATATAACTATAAAATTTACTCTGTTTTAAGGAATTACAGAAAATTTATTTAAAATTTATTTAATTTTGATTCATTACAGGACTAACAGATTTCACTGAAACGTGGTAAACATAAAAAACTTTATTACAGCTATTACAAAATGTGGCAACTCTCTTAGTCTTTTTTCTGGCCATTACTCTACCAGCTTCTGTTGCATTTTTATCATAACATAATTTACAATATTTCTGTATTTCAAAGGCTTTTCTCGGTTTTCTTTGGAGTTTATGTTGTCGTTTTTTAGATATTCTTGCATTTCTGTTCGATGGAATGTCTTCTTTTTCACAACTTGTAATTTATAGCGCTAATTCTTTATGGAATTCAGTAATGCTAATTTTCTGCTTTAATATCTTTGCATAGAATGTAACTATTTACAAAACAGACTTGGTGTGTAACATTTTGAATGCCTATAGGAATCATGTTCTAAATGTAAACTATCTTCTACTGCGATAAGAATCACTGGCCCTACAATACCAGAACTTTTAAGCAGTGTGCGTAGCCTGAACAGGATTGTCTAAGAAATATGCATGGCGCTCAATGTGTTACAATGAAATGGTAGGATATATATTTCTCTTCAAAGATTAAAAAAAACATGAAAATTTTGCAAATAATTTTGAGATTACCAGTTTTAATTATCACTCATTGCCTACCAGTTTTAATTATCATTCATTGTTAACAATATGATTCAGTATTTTTCTTCCTTTTCTTTCTTTTTATTCAGTCTCAAGAAATAATATGTGAACATTACCCATTAAAACTAGAGGCTAGATACTTCTTTAACAATGGCTAATAACTATTGGCAATCAGACAATCTCACATTAATCCATTTTTCTTCTAAACCATTTAAAAGTTTTCCCTTCAAACAAACAATTTTTGCAGTAATTGAAATTAAAACCTTTTTAATTCTAACATATTTATAATTTTAACATATTTATAATTGATGATTTGTTGTTCAGATATTATAATGGTTACAGGAGCCTACTGCTAAACCAAAGGGCCAGGTTCGAATCCCGGAGAACGCATGGCTGTAATTGTCCATCCCTTGATAGGAGGTAATGATAGCCCACATATTAAGTGGTGCTTCTACAATAAAGTGGCCATCACTCCGACCTTATTAGTGGCTATGTCAACTAAGTGCCTGCCAATGGGAAAAAAAAAAAATAATAATAATAATAATAATTGATGAATCAACATCCTAAACATATGCTAAAAATTGATTCATTTCAAATAGCAGAATACTTTACATTAAAAAAGTGAGTTTCATGAATTTGGGATTTATATGCTATCTTAAATTCATAAAAACATTAAACATAATGCAATTAAACCATTTCTAAGACCACTATTCTAAAGATTTAAGGTCTGTCTTCTATGGCTGAAGTCAACTGACAAAAGTTGACTATTGGTGATAGCAATTTATGAGTTTGCATACTGGCTTTACATTGTTTAAAGCTGATAGCTTTAGCTAAAGAAAACAATGAAGTAGCAGTGCGCTTTATGAATATATTGATCAAATTATGAATTAACTACAAAGATAATTATTGAATAATGCTGCAATAAAATAAAATTCAGGAAAAAAAATTATTTCATAATACATACACTGTTGTAAAAAAAAAAAAAAAAAAAAATATGCACCCAGAAAAAATTTAGCCACAACTATGAAATGCAGAATGCAAATATGATTTGGCAAATTTTTTACATGATTAAACTTACAGCAACAATCAGCAATGTGAACCAATGCAAGGTGCACTGTAGAGACATTAGCTATTTTTTTTTAAGAAGCAGGCAAGTTGAAAAATTAGCATAGCCTTCACCGGGAATCGAACCACGGACTTCTGGAATACGCGCCCAGTGTGCAGACCACTACACCATGTAGGCACACGAAGATGGCGGGAGAAATACCTTATATACTTCCCCTTTTAAAGGGCAACTGGGGTTTTTAGGGGACCCAATTGCTAAATACTGGGTGTGGAGAATCATTATAAAACACACTTTTAGTTCGGGCACCACTGTAGAGACATTAGGTATTTTTTTGGGAAGCAGGCAAGATGAAAAATTAGCAACGAGTTCACCGGGAATCGAACTGCGGACCTCTGGAATATGCGCCCAGCATGCAGACCAGCACACCACGAAAGCGGGAGAAGTATTTATAGCATCTGAAATGTGCTGCTGGCAGAATGTAAATGGGTAGCTACAGCATTTACAACTGTGCTGATGGCTTGTATACATGACATGCTAATGAAAGATGCCTTTAAGACTTACTCCTTAGCATTATGAACAGTTGTGAGACTTTGTGAGGGGTCGTATCATAGGGTTAAAAGAGATCAGTTGATCGAACAAGTGGATCAGCTAGCATACTGGTCAAAGTGATACGGTCGTTGTACATTGTCAGAGGCAGTGGTTCAGCAACAGCATAGTTAGCCACCATAGTGGCCTCGGGACATCTCCGGGCCACCAATGCACGAGATGATTGTGCAATTAGAAGAGCTGCCACATCCACATCAACAATTACGCTATCATCAATTCAATGCTGCCTGTCAACTCGCAGGAATACCCAGATATCCAGGGATATAATTCGCAGATGACTATCAGATCGCAATGCTCATTATGATGCTTGCCATTGAATACTCCACCATAAGCAGTGTCATCTTGCATGGTGCTGCTCTCGCTCAAGCTGGACAATGTCCGATTGGAAAAACTTGATCTTCAATGATGAATTACGCTTTTCTCTCAGTGCTGATTACCACTGCATACATGTCTGGAGAGAGAGGTGAGCGGTCCAATGTACTATTTATTGCCAAGTGGCACACAGCCAGAACACAGAATATGACAGTCTAGAGAGCTATTAGTTGAAATAGCCGTTAACTATTAGTTATGTTGCAAGGTACTCTGACCACTCGCAGGTACTTTGATGACATTTTGTAGCCAATTGTAATGCCTACACTAGCAGGTGGTCTAAGTTCTGTTTTCACCCAGCACAACACTCAGCCACATACAGCATGACTTTTCCAACAATGTCGTTGACATGTTAATGTCCTCGATTGGTCTGCCAGGTCTCCAAAACTGTTGCCTATCAAACATGTTCGAGACATGTTGAGTAGGCAAATTCAGCCACGTATACCTATATTGAAATTCACTGACCAGTTGCTCCATTTGTGGCACAGTCTACCACAAAGGGACACTGGCAACTGAATAGACTGCATGCCTAACCAAGTATTGGCATGTATAACTGACAGGGGTGGCTTTACCACCTACAGATTTTCACATTCTTTGTATTGCTACTCATAAATAAAACACTTTTTTCACCCAGTTTTTGATCATTTGTTTATCTACTCGAACACCATACTATTGCCAAGTTTCATACTTGTGGCTCAATTCTTTTTGGGTGCATATATTTTTTTTTTGCAACAGAGAGTAATTTAAAATACTTTAAGTTATAATGCTTTGAAATATGAAGAGGGAAAAAAAAGGCATGTTTAGTCACCAAAATTGGCAAACTTAATCACTCGATCCATAACATGCAAAGTTCAAATAACGTAAAGTCTTAGTAGCAGAAGATTTTACTGTTAAACTTTAAAGTAAAAAACATTGCAGTAAAAACTATAGTAACTTCAAAAAACAATTACGGTTTATTAAAATATTCATCCAGTGAAGGAAAAACAAATCATTATTTTGCAGATTATGATGTAATCTTTTAACTTATTTACAAAATTTAAAGCTTCAGTTTAAAAAAGCCAGGTTTTCATCACCTTCTTCTTCCAACAATATTTTATAGTAACAGAGGCAGTGTTTAAGAGCACTGGTTAGGTGAGGTTCATTGAAAAAGGCAAAGCATACAAGGGCTATCTGCCTGATGCCTTTCTAAGGAAAACTGGCTCGAATTCATGTTACAGATGGTTGAAATCATGAAAACCAATTTAGTTAGGCGAATGGGCTGTGAAACCAGCATCTGGCTATGCAATCAGCATTTCTGTTCGAAAAAAATACATTCATGATAAGATATAACCATACTCAGCTTTCTAATTTTCCTTTCATCCATGTTTCAGTTCATCCATGGATGCACTCAAATAAATAGTTCTTTTAACTCAAAAAGTTTTCTTATTGCTAACAGACATTAGTCAGAAAAAAATGTAAAATGTTTAAGTGTAATATTCAGAATAGATATTAAACTATCCCAGTTAAAAATCTATATAAAAGAAACTTCTTAATTTTTTAAGGCATGATTCCCTTAATTTGCATATTTTATCTTAATTTATAGTGTTTGGAGCTTCAGACATAAACAACACATTATGTATTTTTTTGGAACCAATGATATTTAATTTTTTTTAATTAAAATTGGAAAATAAATTTTTGGAAGCCTAATTTGATCTTATTCCCCTTAAGGAGTGGTCATCTTAGATAATATTATAATTAACAATACTTATGTCTTTTTTTGTTCTTAAAAATAATAGTTATTTTCATCAAGAGAGAGTTTTTGGTATTTTTACTTTACACTGCTTGAGAACATTCCCAATAATATTTTAGTAAAATCGTCAGTTTTCATTATTGATACAAGAGAAACCTGAAAGTATTAAAAAACTTAAATAACCTTGAAGACTTATTCGAATTAGTTTTTACTCAATAATAATTTTCATTTTATAAACATAAGATAGTGAAGTTACATTCTCGAAAAAATTAGTAAAATTGTAAATTGCAATTTTTCTCCATTCGATTAATAACTTATAACATTTTTTTCCAAATCTCAAAGCCATACCTACTTCAAACAGTGTATATGCAACACATTTTCAAAAAAGATTGAGAAACTAATGGGAAAATTATCTAAAATGCAGATTTCATGACAATTTGTTTAAATTCACTTTCTTCTTCGATTTTAAATAAGCCTGCTTTTAATTTTACTGGAATAATGTATCAAGCATTCCCATTTCTATAACATTAAGCAGAATTTAAGTAAGAAATATTTTGATCAAAACATTCTTTTTAAGAACAATAAATTAAGAAATTACATAAAAAAGCAAGAAACTATAAAAAATTAGCGATGCCTACATTAATAACTGATTTTTTTAAAGAGATTAAAATGATGTAGATAAACAATAAAATTTTTAGAAATAATTAACCACAAATCATGATTGTTTTCATTTTCAACCTTAATGTTTTAAAATATTCTTGGTTCTTTGTACACTATTTCATTATATCATTCCATTGTACATACAGACCTCATATTGTTTATGATAGTACTTTGTCCTAACACAGAATAATGGTAATTGGATTATAATTAATTAATTATTAACAATTCTTATTAATTAATTGATAATAATTATTATTTTTAACAATTTTTTTTCTTCCTAGAACAGTGTTTTTTAACCTTTCTAGAGAGTCGCACCCCATTGAATCTGAAAATATATCTCCACACCCCATTGAAAAATGTGTTTTAATTTTTTTTAGTCTAGAAAAATACATTTTTTGCAAAACTTATTGTTTCTTGAAAAACATTGTACATTTTATATAAATACAAAACAATATTATTTTTATGAATGACTAGTCTGTTGTTGTTTGTTCATTATTATACTGGCGAAGCGAGGTTTGTTTCTTTTTTGAAAGACATACGCCTAGGTCATCACTTGCATTTAAGCGATTTCTCACTTTAGTTTTTATATGCAAAAGCGATGAAAATCCCATTTCGCACAAGTAGGTGGTAGCAAAGGGTAAGAGTAACTGCAGTGCTCCGTTCGCCAACTCTGGATAACATTGTAACTGTGAACACCAGAATTGTTGCAATTCTAATTGTTCGAATTCCATTTGAACATGTCCACTTGCTCGCATTTCAATAAGTTGATCTTTTTTCAGATCATCCATCAAATTTAAGTCAAATAGAAATGGATCCAGTATCCATCTCTGAGTTTGTTTTAGTAATATTTCCGGTAGAAAAATATCCATTGAATGATTCGCTCAATTGTCTCAAATGTATTACAATGTCGTTAATAATTGCATTCTTTTCATTTTTTGCAATAACAGAATCAAGCAAGGGAAAGTTTGCAAAATTCCCCTTTTCTACTCGACGTATCCAAATTTCTAATTTTGCGACAAATGAAGATAATTTTTCACTAGATATTATTATATTTATACCAAATCCTTGCATTGATAGATTCAATTCATTTAAATGGCTAAATATGTCTGCTAAGTAGGCCAGCCTCAGCATTGCATCATTACTCTCAAAATCTTTTACTAAATAACAGTTTTGACTAGTCAGTAATTGAATAATTTCCTCACGCAATTCAAAAACTCTGTTAAGCATGCGACCCTTAGATAACCATCGTATTTCGGTGTGATATAGGAGCACGGTATGATCAGCACCGATTTCTTCGCAAAATGCGATGATTAAGCGCTCGCCCTCGGATGTATTTTACTACATTTACTGCTGTAGTTAGATGTTGTTTTAAACTTTCTGGCAATGCTTTCGACGCAAGTGCATGACGATGCAACATGCAATGCGTTATTATAACTTCCGGTAATTCTCTTTTCATGTGTGAAAAAAATCCTGAATTTTTGCCTAACATTGCTGGGGCCTCATCAGTGCATATTGAGCCAATCACATTCATTGGTAATTGATATTTAGTAAAAAAATCTTTGATGCGATTGAAAACATCAATTCCTCTCGTATTCACCTCCAGTGGCTCACAAAATAGAAATTCTTCTATCACCTCTTTTTCCTTCACATACCTGACAAATACCAAAAGTTGGCTACAATTATCAACATCAGTTGACTCACCCAGTTGCATGCTTATTTTTAGTGGACTGATTTTTATGTCTTCAATTACTTGCATTAAAATATCTTCACTGAGATCTTGTATTCGCGATCGTATAATATCATTCGATAATGGAATCTGTTGGATTTTTTTTATGTGCTTCCGAATCTAAAACTGTTTTAGCAATAATTAAAGCAGAAGGTTTTAATCAACTCTTCAGCGATCGTGTGAGGTTTCTTTTTTTTTTTTTTTTTCACATAAATATGCCACTTGATATGACGCTTCTAATAAAGGTTTTTGAATTGCTGGTCCGCACAATTTTAGGATAGTTCCACTGGTATCAAACCGAGCCTTCTTTGACTTCAAGCTGTTCATGCTATGCGCTTTTTCGCCACCATGCAGATTGTTGAAATGCTCTAATAATAACTTTGATGGTTTTGAGATTGCTGTTTGAAAATATCTTGGAACACAAGATGCATTGCGGTCGTTGCGTGCCATCTTTTTCGGTTGTGCAGGTAAATCCATAACCGGCATACTTATCGTTCCATTGTCGTTTTTTTTGACATAGTGGGGTTCACTATAATCGATTTAATTATTTAGAAATAATGTAATATATATAATGTTCTTACGTTTGTAATATCACTGAATCCTATTCGGCTTGAACGGGCAATTAAGAATGTATTAGTCTCAAGAGGTTTCTGGACAAGTCAGAATACACAATACACATGTCGCAGACACAATAGTTGACTCGACCTAACACAGGCGCAGTAGATGCAGATACAAATCTGTGAATCCGTAGATTCCATTGGAGTAGCACATATTGAACTCAGCGCATGCGCAAGCTGGTATAACGTTCTCCGCTTGTATTCCCACAAAGTTTTTTTTTTTTTCTTTTCTCCGTCACCTAGCTGCCTGTTCGCGTTAGTTTGTAGCATTTCATGCCTTTTTATAGCATAGTGTATATGCCCATCGGCACCGGCTCTTTCCTGTGTCTTTTGCCGATAAGTGAGCAAAGTGCTACCGCTTTTTATGAGCTTCAATATTGGGGACACTATTGCAGATTTCAAATACCGTATTTGACGGCATATAAGATGCACTTTTTTTCCTAAATTTGGTCTAAAAAAAGTTACCTGCGTCTTATATGTGAAGGACACAGTCTTATACGTGAAGGACACAGTCTTATACGCGAAGGAATTGCATTCGATAATTGTTTATTTGGCTTTTACGAAATGTGAGAACTAATAGAAACCATGCTATTGAAACTTTTTTCCCTTGTGTGTGGCCGTCTAAATAAGGGTGCGTCTTATATACCATCAAATACAGTACTTTATTATAAGAAATTTAATAATTTTTATGGTTAGATAGGGGCTTCTCCCGCAACCCCAAAAATACATTCCCGCAACCCCAGGGGTGAGGGCACCCCCGGTTAAGAACCACTATCCTAGAAGATAATGATTAATTCATGATGATGTAGAGTAATTATATCTTCAAGTATTTCTTTCTCTGCTATTATTTATAATACACACACATTTTGTGAAGTATATCAGCATAAAAATAATAAAAATGAATGTGAAAATATAATTTAAATAAATATTTGAAGGTAAAATAATAATAAAAGTACCAAAATCTTTTGCTTGACCAGAAATAATTCTGACCCCATCTAATGCAGCTTCCAGTAACTTGGTACCACTGCTTCTATAAAATTAAAATATCAGAATTCATGAGTATTTCAGTTGAAATTACTACAAATAAACCGATACCTATAACATGTAACCTCATGAAATAAATATTCACTTTAAAAAGTATTTAATTTTCACTTTTTTAAACACTAGAACTGGAAATTTATTTGCATATTAAAAAAGTATTAAATTAAAAAGTATAGAAGAATAGAAATTATGTGCAAAATATAGCAAATCATTCTATTAAAAATGAAAAGTATTTAATAAGTTTTCAATAGTAGTCTCAAGAATCAGTGCAAAACATTAGCATTAAAAATATCAGTCAATGAACATCAGTCAATGAAAATTTCATAAATGTTTATGTTGTATAAGTGATTAATAATAACAAAAATTATTTTCTTTACCTTTGCTAGCACTAATGAAATCATTAAAATATGACTATTTTAAAGACTCGTTCATCTATGTTCACATTAAAAGTTGAATCAACATGGATAGATTGCCTTAAAATGAATATCGATATTTATTTCATCATCTTATAGTGTTGATGATTATAGCTTATCATTTATTCATATAAGATACCCATAAGTATAATGAAAACTGAAGGATATTAAAAGTAGAGTTCAGTAATTAGAACTGATTTTCTTATCAAGATTTTAAACTTTATTGATATTTTTCAAGATATTTAAGAAATTATTTTTCAGTGAGAATATATGAAGAAATACATTAACAGTTAAAAAAGTTAATACACATCACAGAAATCTTGCCATGAGCAAACTATGCAATTGGCTAGGATACATGTTAACGTGAAAATTATCTAAACTGGTTATGATTGCACATGGTCACATACCTTACAATGATGCTCAAATTATGAACCAGTAGAAGATTTAAATGATGGCAATTAATCTACTCTGTAAGAGCATGAAAAGCAGTGGTTGATGCAGCCATACATCCAGAAGGAGAACGATGCAATTTACAATGATTTGTATACTTTATAGACTTCCAGAGGGGTCTTATAATTGAAATAAAAACTACACAAAAGGCTGTGCACCACATGGCTTGCGACATAGATCATTTGGATAATACTATCTGACAGTGTTGTCAGAAGTGACACATGAGGGAAGCCATTTATGGCAGACTGGCTTGAGAAGGACCAGATTACCCATAAAGAAATTCGTCAAGCATATAGAAGATCCAATGACAACCCAGTCTACCATTAAGATAGCTGTAACGTCCAAATGGACATGAAAACTATTATGAGGTATTTACAATACATAGGCTGTTCATACATATTTTAAACAAGTTTGCTTTGCCATAAAAAAAAAACTGCCTGCTTGGAAAAGCCATTTTTTAACTACAATTATATTTTTGAAAGTTTAAAGTTATGTTACGGAAAATTATGTTTGTGCTCTTTCTGAAGAAAATTATTTGTGTTTAGTTGCTAAAAAATGGTATAAAAGCCATGATTTTTCTGGTATCTAAACGAACAATAGAGAGTATTGTCAATAAGAAAGGAAAAAAACGTCAGTTTGGCTTCAAGAAGAAAAATGGTTCAAAATACCATACTATATAACCAAACAAAAAACGAAACATTTTGAATGCTCAAATGGTAAGAAATTTAATACTAAATTAAAATCTGTGAAGGCAGGAGGACAGTTGCATAAGCAGAACGTGCTGTAAAATTCTCTATGAGAAACAATTTTTCAGACAAAAACGGAAAAATGTCACAATAAATGAATCTTGGGTGTATTTAAATGACTGCAATAAAAGAGATCCATTTATAATCAAAGAGAAGAAAAAAATATTAGAACATGGTTAGCTGTTAAGGTAAACTCCACATATTATAAGGAACATATTTCATACCCAATTTTGAAATATGAAATACCTTCTCTTTACCCAGTGCCATCAATCAGTAGAACATGAAGACAAAACAAGCAGCTGCACGTCAAAATCCACTGTTAATATATTGTAAAAAAATGGAACATGTATCAATCATATCCCTACCAAGTCTCTTGATGCATCATCCATGGATTTTTGGACTTTTAAAAAACAAATTGTTCAAACACTGACGTACAGCCCTCCTTGGACTGTGGAAAGCTTTTCGAGAGGAACAGGATAAAATACCTCTTTCGAAACTAAAAAATGCTTTATTATCTTCGGAATTACTGTGTAGAAAGATAGTGAAGACTAAGGGTTATCAAATGGAATATTTAAAACACAAAAGTTTTTAGGTAAAATATTTCTATAAATACAATGAAAATCATCTAGAAAATGTGCAAACAACCTTTTTAACAGCACCCTTTGTGTATACGACATTTAACACCAGAACATTGGACCAGTAGTGCCATTTCCAGTACAACATTTCCAGTGGTGCCAGGCTACAGCATTGTGCAGTGCTATGGAGTGAGGATTCATGACATTCATCGATGAGTCACACTAGTTTTGGATAGGATGTCTATTGTGTCTGAGAGTGAAAGTCCCCTGACTAGTCATACAATCCTAGCTTCGCTGTTGAGTTGCACTGAGGTATATATTATGATAGCTCTACTATTCTAATATTGTAATATACTGACAACTCAGGAGTATGTGGATGATAAAGTATGGCCACATGTGTTTCCATTCCTTGCTAAAGGTCTTAGAGCATTATTCCAATGTGATAATGCCTGAACACATTCAGCATGGGATGTCTAGGATTACCCACATTATGTGCAGACACTTCTATGGTATCAGACATATCTGCTTCAAGCAAGTCTAGGAGCAGATGAAACCATAATATTTAACTTACTTTTATACAGTCTCTCCATTTAAACTGCATATATAGAATAAATTATTTTCTATAACTATATTTTTCAAAGAAAAAAAATACTATGCATTGTATTAAACAATGTTTAGTAGAATAGGAAGTACAGAGAATGATATACTTACCGAGTATCTTTAGCTAAAAATACATTAGCAGATATATTATAATTAAGTTTACTTTTCTCAACAATGTGCTGCAAAGACTTATCTAATTCTGCATTTCTGAAAATAATAATAAAAAAAAAATATTATACAAATTATACACTCAGTTTTCAATGCACATAAGAGATCTAAAACTACACAATCATGCAATTGTGTTCTGTGGCATTCTATTCTCAAAATCATAGTCTACAAAATAGTGAGTAAATACTATCAGAGGCTATTCAAACTAATATTACATCTAAAGAGATATAAAACTAGTTCAGGAATAAATGTGATAGCAGGACAATAATTTTTTCTTAAATACATTTAACTATTGAATCTGTTGGCATAAATATTTTTGAATACAGAGCACATATTTCAGAGAGATATTACATTTTTTTACGATTTTGATGATTACATTTGATTTTTTTCAAGTTTTGAAAAAATAAAAATTAATCAAATTATAAAAAAGTCAGACAATTATGTAATATTATAATAATTTTCAATATTACTAATATTTGTGACAACATGCTTGTAACAAATCTGTTTTCATTGGCCCCAATTAATTTTCCATAAGCAACCTTTTGTCTTCATGAACAAGTATATAAATTACTATTACTGTTGCATTTTCCTTTTCATTTTTGAAAATGAGTTTGAGGTCTGTAGAATTACATTTGTGACTGCACTCTGGTTCATTTACAGCTGGTCAGGATAACTGTCATCTGTTGAATGGGATAAGAACAGCTGGATATGCCCAATAAAACTGCAATAGATTGGAACCATGCCTGTGGGAAGTCTGAAGTCATTGCATTCAAAACTGAGTCTCCAGTAAAATCAGAAGGCCTAACAAAATAGTAGAAATTGCCAAAAATATTTTAAGCAAGCAAGTCAAATACTCTTGCATGAGTAGCTAGTTGGTGGTTACTGCAGAGAATACTAGTGAATATTTTATTGTTCAAGTTATAGATAGAAGTATGGCTCAGAATTCCACGGGAATGACTGGCACAACTTTGGTGGAATCTTTGCCAACTTTCATGGCTCGATGGTAGCCAACACAGCTATAGGTTTCATTGCCCAGGAAGAACTGAAAATTTCGCAGCCCTTTCTGCTTGTCAAGAATGTAAAACTTTTCATTCTAAAATTTCATAACATTAATTTGCCTCCTTCTGGATGCTGTGCCCCTTCTCCAGCAAGGTCACTGGTAGCCAACTTTCATCATCGACCGGATAATACGCAAATACTAAGAGTTCTGCTACCTCTTACACTTGAACAGAAAGAACCAGATATTCACTATTTGTATTCTGTAATTTTAGACAAATGTGATTACAACATTTTAATTTACCATTTTTTCTTATTTACTTAAAATTCTTGGAAGATAAAATTATGAATAGAACATTAAGTTTTCAAATAACTTGTTTTTTTATTAAATTAATGACTGAATACTATGTAATATATAAACTTATCATCATTTTACACAAATGCATAATAAACCGAAATATAAAATTCTGTGACAGTAGAAAAATTAACATTTACTAGTATGGTTAAGTCTTAGGAAGATAAAAAACAATTACATTTTTAAAATACTATTTACTATAAAATGTACTTTCTAAACTCTACACAAAAATAAATTTCAAACATTTCTGAGCTGTAATCACAGGATATAAATTGGGTATTTGCATATTATCTGTTACTAAAAATTTTGGTTGGTTCCAAGGCAATCTAATATGTTTCTAATAAATATTTGCAATTGCTGTTAAAAATATATCCTTAATCTTCAATATGTTTTCTCACATGATGAATGTTGTTCCATTAGCACCTATGTGTTTGACCTTTTGATATGATTTCTATTTCCTATTTTCTTTATGGGTCTTGAGGATCTATCAAATATGAAAATGAAACTATGAGCTGTTGAAATTAAAAACAAATTTTTAGATTATTACATTACACTTTGTTTCATTAGGTGATGCTATTTTAAATTACCTTTCATCAGTCATCCACATGACATAGTATTATTGTTGCATGAAATAGAAGATCTTTAATTTATCTTTCATGGAAATTCATTAAGTGTTATTTCTTGAAATGTTTCAATTTCAACAAGGCATATCTGTAATTTATGCTTCTAATGTAATTAATCTACTATCGTTTAACAAATTGAACACTTTGTACTTTTTGATAATTAAAAAATTTTTGTTTTTATGTGTTTAGTAATACATTTAAGTGATATACTTTAAAATTTAAGATAGTTACAGTTGAAAATTTGTGTAATATTTCAAATAATAAAAAATTACATATTTAATACCTTGGTACATTCTTTGACTGTGTATGCTTCTAAAATCCTAAAATATTACGAAAAATCCAGACCATAATGAAATTATATACAAGTTAAAACTGTTGTGAAAGTGTGACATTAAAGTGTTCACAAACAGTAAGAATGTAAACAAGACACTGGTTCATTAGAAGCTGTATCATATTAATAACAGCTCTACTGCTTGTTTACTTCTTATGCAAAGGGTCAAAACAGTTAAATTTTGCCAATAATTACAAATAAAACTTTTATAAACTGGAGCAGTTATGTTTAGAAGGTTTGTCATTGTTTTATATTGAACTATAAAGATAGACCTTGCTAAACACCATCTAAAATTACTTTTTTACTGCCTAGGTTGCTTCCTAAGAAACTGATGTTTAGTTTATTTGACTGTGACAAAGCATTTGAGAGCTATTTGCCTAATAGGAAGGATTCCTTTGTGGAGGAATTTCTAAGAGAAACTGGCTCATATACTTGTTACACATGAAAATGCCCATGCAGCCAGCCCATTTGCCAAGATTGAAACCCCAGTTCAAACTATCAGTGTTCAGTGATTTTACCACATGGCTGCTGGTAGGCCTAAGGAACTGAAGAATGGGAATACTTTACATGTTTTGCTACAAAGAGCAAACTAATCACAACTGAGAAATTTTTCTGTTATCAAAAGTTGTGTAGAACTAAGATCCATCAGCTGAAAACACCAGTACCAAGATCACTGCTAAAGTTCACTTGACACCAAATGAAAATCTTCGTAGCAAATAACATACAAGTAAAGAAATTTTTTACACATATTTTTAAATATTTGTATGATTTTATTTTTAAAAACAATGATGAATTACAGTTTCTAAAATAACAATATAATAATTACTTTGTTCTGAGCAAAGTAATTATTATGTTTATTTCCCCTTCTTGACAGTTTGCAAATGTTGTGATCAATTATTCATAAAGCTTGTGGAATATGCTGGCAATGGAAGAATCTGCAGTAAAATTTCTGCAGGAACACAGAATTTACATGAATCATGCCCACTTTCAGATTATCAGCTATTTTTTAAATTATGATTAAAAAATAATGAAATTATAAAAATTTATGTGATAAAAATATGATAAAAATAAATAAATAAATAAAAAGAACTATTAAAATGCTACTTAGTAATAGGTAATACATAATGAACGGAATTTCTAACTGTATGGGGAAGTTTTAACTTCATTTTTGCCGTTTGCAATACCAATTAAATGCTAGTAAATCAGCCATGGGTAGGAAAATTAACAGGCGTAAAAAAACCTTTTTAAGGTACTTTCCTTGTTAGTAGATTTTCAAGGCCAACCCGGTAAAACTGGCAAATTTTATTACGCAATCTATCAAATGCACATTTTAAGCATTGCCAAAGGTTTACACAGTGATCACTTTAATGTGGACATACCTTTTTTAAGTCACATGGCTTTAGTTTAATGCATTAAAAAATAAATAATTTTTTAGCTGTTATACATGACTATCACTGGTCTAAAATCTATGAAACGAGAAATGAAAAAATATAACTAAATTAGTTACTAGTATTAATTTTCATATCATTTATAAAAAATTTATTACATTGCATATAATATTATAATAATTATATCTGATACAAATAATATTTAATTACAATACTTTACTCTGAATTCACCAGCAATGTAGCAAATTGCTCCCATTCTTGATTTATCATTTCGCCTGAAGGCCCACATAATTTTATACCATTATCTTCCTCAGGATTGTGAGAAGCAGTGACCATCAATCCTACAGTTTTTCCTGAGAAAAATTTCAAATAATTATTTTTAATGAATGCAAAATGCTATTAATATACAAATTATTGAACTGAAATTCTATAACATAAACTGCAACAGTATTATATAAAAATATTCAAAATTAACATTAATTTTTTTAATTAATAATCATCAATGTCTAGGAAAAAGATGAGTAAAATGAAAAGAATATTTTTCTGATACTAGTAATCACGATAATCATGTCTTATTCTGAGATCTTATAACCAGAAATACCCAGTATTCTCACAACAAGTGACCTACCACCTGTGAACCAACATCAAAACCAAAGATAGTTTTGCATGGTTTAGGTTGATAACATTACCAACTAAATCATACAAAAATCAGCAGTACATAAATAAATAAATACAAAGAAATTAAGGTTAATCTTCGGATTATGGTAACTTGGCAATTTTTTGGCAAAAATTTGGCAACCAACCCTGCAGCAAACCTGCTAGTTTTTTTTTTGGGGGGGGCGCCATTTTGTTTTCACAAAGTAAAATCGTGTATTTTTTTTTTTTTTTTTAACTCAGCATTTTTTGCAACAATCTGCTAGCCGAATTACTCTTATACTAGAACTTTTATGGAACAAAAGGCTTAATCATGATGACGATAGGTGCGAAATCGGGAGAAAGTGAAGAATCACCCACTGCTTGCCGTGTTTTTAAGAATTGCACATACACGGTATCCATATGTACACGTCGACCTATTTTCACTTTAAAAAAAATCCCAGAATTGCACAAAAATGGCATTACGCACACTCTTGACTTTATCCATGTACGCTGCTAAAGTCCTAGCTAGTAACCTTTATCGCCTTACCAAAATGTCGCATGTTACCATATTCCAAAGATTAGCCAAAATTTATCATACTTACTTTTACAATATTACCAGATTATTATATTAAATTATACACTATAAATAGAAGAATGGACTGATTTGGTCCTATCACATCCCTCAATGTTTCATGATTATACTTTAAACACATTTTGCTGTCCAGAAAGGAAAGTGGTTAGTGACTCTGACTGTCCCACTAAAAGGCCTGGGTTTAAAGCCCAGAGAAGGCATGGATGTAACTAGGAGGCAATGGTGGGCTACCTGTTAGGTACCTCCATAATAAAGTGACTACTGGCTAAAGTTTTAGACCTACACCATAGCCACAGTTTATCCAGAATTAATCATATTGGAAATATGCAAAAAGATGCAACTGCAAGTGGTGGCTGCCAGAATGAAGGGCAAAAGAGAAAATGGGGGAAAGTAATAAGAAAAAATTAAACTAGGCAGGATACTGAAGATAAGAGGGTATAGTTATCCCAGAGGGAAGAAAATCCCTCTAAAATTCAATAAAGTACTGTAATTGTTAAAAATTTGGAACTGGCAATAATGCAAGTATTGCTGAATAATGTCCCTGCAGATGCAGTGCTAGACATTTGTTCCTCAGTGTAGTTTTCTATAAGAAACTTTTATCTGCAAATACACTGGTGTGCAAAACTTAAGCAACAATGCAAATTTTAATCAGATAACCATGCAGTTTCAGAAAAGGGGTTCTTGAAATCAGTATGATGAATATGCAATTCAGTAGAAAGGTCATGCATATGCAAATGTCAGAAAAGAAACGTCGCAGGCTATGTGATCGTACGCAAAACACATGCGTTCCACTCGAGACTACCATAAAAGGAAGGACGCAGACGCAATTAAAGACATTCGCTGCAAGTCCACGTGAAATTTTTCGTGAAATATGGCTAGAAGAAATCATCTGGTGACTTCACGCGGGAAGAATGATCGGAAAGCTGGAGGACGGGCGTAGTCCGACCAGTGTGGCTGAAAATATCGAAATCAACAAAAGTGTCGTTTTGTGACCTTGGAAAGCCTTCCAAACCATACGTACAGATATTAGAAAGGTTGGCGGTGGCCGCTCCAGGACAACAACTGCAGCAGATAACTGATATATCGTCCTACAGGCGAAAAGTACAAAACCAGTCAGCAATCTCCACAGCTCAGTAACTGTGTACAGCAACCAGCGACAATTGTCGTGGTTTACTGTGTCCAGGCACCTTCACAAAGATGGCCTATTCGCCTGCCGTCCTGAACACTGCATCCCTTTGAAAGTTGGCCATCGCCGCCACCGTTTAGAGTGTTGCAAGGAGCACAAAAACTAGGTATCTCATCAATGGAGTTGTGTCCTCCTTACGGATGAGAGCCGTTTTAGTGTCCCAAGCAATTCTCAACACCAATTGATTTGGAGAGAGGTTGGGACACAGTTTAATCTCAGTAACATCAAGGAAAGACACCGTACCGTAATAGTGGTACTGGAGTTTTTGTCTGGGGAGGCATTGTGCTGAACGGGCGAACTGAGCTCCCCCGTTTTCGACAGAAGGGTCTGTAACAGGAGATCGCTTATTGTCAGGAGGTGATCCTTCCCCATGTGCGTATGTTCCGAGGTGCAATTGGAGCAGACTTAGATTTTATGGCATGACAATGCACAGCCACACCGGACTCCTGCTGTTCAGAAGCTACTGGAAAAGTGAAGATAATCACTCGAAGTGGATTGGTCTAGCGTACTCCCCTCCCCTGATTTAAATCCTCATAGAACATGTGTGGGATGCTTTGAGGAGGAGACGCCTTGCGGAACGATTACATGCTGCGGGTGAACACCCAACAACTGAAACAGATGCTTGATTGAGGAATGGGCATTCTCACCTCAAAATCTGTTCGGAACAATCTGGTGCTGAGTATGGGGAGACGGTGAGAAGCAACCATTGCAGTAAGGTCAGGGCATATCCCATTACTAAGGAACATCTGCTTGTTGTTCTTCCTCTTGTACAGACAATAATGTGTAACAATACTATGAGTTCAATAAAGCCTTCTTTTTTGTTTGATTCCATACTGTATGCATTTTATTCATTTTTGCGCAATTATGCTTTCGTCATCGTTTAAATACAAAATGCTGTCTCTTATTTCTGAATTTCATGTCTCTCAGATGATATCTTGTGGTGTTATGTCAAAAAGAACACCTGTTGCTTAAGTTTTGCACACAAATGTACTTTAGAAGATATTGATTATTTGATGTTGTGGTAGCAAAGGTTATTGCCCCTTCAGGCAAGCAGTGTACATGCATAAGTGAAATAGCATTACATGCTCAGGTTAATAATGAACAGCAAAAGGTTGCATGCCTTGTTGTGGTTAAAAATCTCCAGGTGTCTATAATCTTAGGTATAGATTTCTTAATAGCAGCAGGCACAAAATTAAACTTTCTGGAATCAACTCTTCTGTTGGATATGAAGAAACTGAAGATAGAAGGACATCGCCACCAGTGACTTACCTGAACCATTTAGGTGCAGAAGAAAAGGAAAAGTTGGAGAGTATGTTAAGTCAGTTTTCCACTTTATTTGATGATAGGTCTGGCCAAACTAAGATTGTGAGCCATAGCACTCACACAACCAATGTGGCCCCTGTGGGAGCAAAGTCCTATTGCTACAACAAAGTGAAGAACCAAATAATAGAACATCATATTCAAGAAAAGTTAAAAAATAAAATTATATTGCCAATAAGTAGCCCTTAGGCTAGCCTGGTGGTTCTGTATGGAAAGAAAAGAACCTCCTACCTACTGACATATAAGTGAAGCATTTTGCAATCGATTTAAAAAACTTAACAGTGTGACTAAATATCCTATCTATTTCCTTCTCATAATGGAAGAAATTATTCCTAAAGCTTGTGAAATTTGCTGGCAATGGAAGAAACTGCGGTAAGATTTCTGCAGGAATACAGAATTTTGCCACAAAATCTCTAAAGGTAACAATGAGTAGATGCATTTGGTAGATAGCCAATGTTCAGGTTCGCTCAATGCACAGTCTGTAATTCTCCTCTTTTTTTTTTTTTTTTTCCAGCCCAAAGGGCGTTAGCTCCCAAGGACTATTAATTTCATTTTCGCATTTTGCATTGGTTCACTTTTCAAATTGTTACCACCAAATGTTAGAGCCTTGTGTTATATTTATAGAAATTAAATAATGAAGAATCTGCAAAAAATGTATGTATATTTCTCGCATTGTGATAAGAGAATGGTACCTAGAGCCATCAAATTTTAAGTAATGTAAATCCTCCTCCAAATATGGGCATCTGGAAGCCCAAATTTGGAATTTGTTTTATTATCGATTTCATATTTTGTAAAACTTTCTTAAAGTTTTACAAACTTTAATGAAGTTTTTTAATCAAAAATGTAAATAAAGCATTTACATTTTTGATTAAAAATCTCAAGGATTTCAAAGCAAGCAATGGCAACACTGTACAGGGGGGAACATTTTTATCTCCAGCGCACGAGACAGTGCATCGGAAATTCTAGGTGTGCTCATTTAAAAATTATTTTGCGATATTTCTGTTAAATTGAATTTTATGGTTTAAGTGCAAAGAACATGATATTTAATAAAGAAAGGTAACACACAAAACATTAAAAAAACACCCTTTGGGTGTAATGTAAAATCTGAAAGCATTCACATATTTTTTTTTTAAATAAAAATGAACTACTGTGTACTTGGAGAGAAAAATAGTGCCAAAAAACAAAAATTTAGAGAAAAATGTAAATGCTTTATTTTTCAATGTGTCACATAATCTGTATTTAATAATTAAAATTTGTATTTGAAATTGTGGTATGCTTTGTTTCTATATGTTGATAATGTCTGCCAACTTATAGTAAACACTGATAGTTTGTGAATCTTTTTAAAAAAGCCACAAAAATCACCTTTTCATCCGTAAAAAATAAAAATGTCTCCAAATTGCACCAAGGGGTAAAAGTATATTTTAGGGTACCCCTTGGCGAAACTTGGCGGTACATGGATACTGAATTTGTGCAATTCTTTAACTTTTTATTTTGGCTTGCTTAGCAACAAAGCCAAAATAACAAGACAAAGAATTGTACAAACTCAGTATCCATGTACACATCGACCTATTTTCACTTAAAAAAACATCCCAGAATTGCACAAAAATGTCATTGTGCACTCTCTTGACTCTAATTGCACAAACTAGACTTTGCGCACTCCCTTGACTTTGTCCATGTATACATCGAACTATATTCACTAAAAAAATTCAAAAGTGCAGCACACAAGAAAATATATAATCTGAATAAACTACATTTTAAATCAAACAATGAAATAACATAAAAAAAAGAAATTCATCTTAGCACTGCACAAAGGAAATATCCACTTACCTTATTTATGAATTCATGCGTCTTCAGTCAAACAAAATTCCTTAACAGCATCCAAATGCTTTCTAAAATTATCTGAACTAGAAACTGTATACTGGTGTCACCCCATAAATTCACAAAAATAAGAGTAAAAAGTATCCTTCGTTCGAAAATATCCGATGCTCGACCATACACATTTCCTTCCTTCAAACATGACATTTAATAATGGCTACTAAGTAAACACTCATTTACACACCAGTCGATGCTTTTTTCCCTTTCGTTCAAAACCCTACAGAAATTTGAAATTAATCTTACCACATTCAGCCAATTTACCGTGTAAACCACAAAATAACAACGTACTAATCCATCACACACAAGCCCTTACCCAAAATCCAACACACACTTTGCAAATTTTTTCCCATGATTCAAATTTACGTCATAATAGGGTTTCCATAGCATTCAACTACTCAGGTTGTCATGAATGAGATAACGACTTGGCGGTAAATGAAAACAACAATTTGGCGATAAATGAAACAGCAATTTTGCTATATGGAAGGGACCCTAAGCAGGGGTCTCCAAGCTACGGCCCGAGGGCCCATCCGGCCGCGGACAGATTTTGTCCCGCCGCGGAGAGCTAGCTACTTGAAAACTCTTTTTAGAGAACATATTTTTATAGCAAATTAAATTAGTTTCTGAAGTATTCTAATTTTATGTTGAATAAATGATTAATATGACATCTACATTGATAGGTCATGGGCTAACTACTCATAACATTGTTGTAGGCTTATTGTTATGTTTTTGTGATAAGTTGGATAAAGAAAACACAGAATTGTATGAGTAAAGACATGTATAATATGCAGAAAATTTAACTTCAGTATATAATAACTAACAAATTATGAATGATCCAACTAACATTTTATACTTTAAATAAAAACATAACTTATAACAAGCATAATGACATATGAATACTAATGAGAATTTATGTAATTTAGATTTTCCACTGACCTAATTTGTAGTTGTGGACTAATTTTACTTGTACCAATTATTAAAAGAGATTTAAGATGCTCATCAGTTAATTAGATCTGTAAACATTTTTGTGTACTTTATTTGGAGAAGGTCTTCTCACACAATAAGTAGTACCAAAAACAGAAAACAGCCTACGAGCAAATTTATGCAAATTATCAAATTGTGTCATGGAAGATCTTATAAATTTCAACAAAGATGAGTTTTGATATTTGTTCTTAATTATATCACTGCACTTAGATCATCATTTCCATTTGAAGTTCCGGGGGTAGGGTTTCAATGTCCAGTATCAAAGGATTCTGAAAAAAATCTTAATTTGATTGCAATGAATCAAAGTCCGAGAAACGAGTATCAAAATTTATTTTCAAAGCACTCAAAGTTTCTATTGCAAAATCGATACGAAAACTCAGTCTCAGTGGGTGGCTGAATATTTCACTGTTTTAAAATGTGAAAACACATTTACTTGTAGTTGTGATTGAAACAGTATCAATTCTTCAAGAATGATTTGATATTAGTGTATAAAGATGCTGGTTTTCTCCTTGCAATCTCAAATTCAGTTTGTTCACATGTTTTGTCAAATCAACATAGAATGCTAACTTCCACAGCCATGCGTTATTTTGTAATTCAGTAAGAAGGCGATGCTTTTCATTCAAAAAAATTTCGATCACTACTCGAAGTTCAAAAAGGCGCTGAAGGACTTTCCCACAACTAAGCCAATGTACGGCAGTATGATAAGGTAAGTCATTTCAGAACTTCAGACATATCGAAACATTTTCCGCACAAAGACTGTTGATGAATGATACAATGTAAGACTAATGGTTTGGAACCACCGTCATTTTCTATAACAAGACTGACACAAGAGCGACCACTCCTTTGTCTTTCCCACTCATGTTTTTGCCTCCATCAGTTGTAATACATTTCAAGTTTTTCCATCAAAGGTTCTTTTGATTAATGGCCATTTCAACTCCTTTTAAAAATATCTGTACCAGTAGGTGCCATGAATACTAACATATATCAAGAAGTCTTCATGCACTTCATAGCTTTATCTACTCCTGAATATAAATTAACACTGAGCAGATCTGAACATCGTTGACTTATCCAAGGCCAGAAAACCACTCAACATGTCCATTTTGGTCGACATTTGAGAGGATATATTTTCAGCGATGTTTCTACTTTTTCGAGCCACAGTGTTTGCTGAACATACTGACAGTTTAATAAATTTACCTTTTCAGGGGCATATTCTTCGGCTACTGCAATTATGTTCTTTATCATTTCTCCATCGGTGAATGGTTTTCCACGTTTGCAATTTCAAGAGCCCCACGAAGCTGCACGAGTTGCAGCCTCTGTTCAGTTTTTGAGTTTTGTAAATGAAGATTGCTGCGATTTCAATCAGCGCTTTCATAGCTTCGAATTTTCTGTTCGCAACTTCTGTATATTTTGAGTAATTTTGAAAATGTTTTGTTTCATAATGACGTTTAATGTTATATTTTGAGAACGGCTATGCTTTCATTACAAAATCAAACATAGATCTTGTTACTGGACTCAATTACGAAATACTGAATGTTCCACTGATCTTTGAATTTTCTGCATCACTATCAATTTTTCGTTCTTTTCCATACTACTAAATCACACACAAAAGCAACATTTAAAATAAAAATACTGTTACAAAGATTCTTAAACTTAACACGCACAAACACATTTTAAGGAGGACGCACTATTTTATTCACAACAGTGTCATAGGAACTGACTTCTGTATGTGCTATTAGTGCCATCTGTTCGCGATAGAAGGTACTACCTATTTCCCTTGTGTCACCAGATGTCGGTCACGTTACTCTCATGGCTCATACTTTACGACTAATCTAGAAATTACAGATAATGACAGGAAAATTAATAATATGCAGTGTTGCCGTTTTGCAGACTTTAGTCCAATTTGCAGCCTTTTTTAAACGTTGCGTACTTTTTCAGTACTTTTTTTTTCTTCATCAGTGGACTAGTTCACTTTTTACCACCGGCAACAATGATAATATGGTTTTGGCCCTCGGAACTTACTGGAGTAATCAGTATGGCCCTAAGGCTGGAAAGTTTGGAGACCCCTGCCCTAAAGTCAACTCTAACCCACCAGGGTTAATACATAAGTATCCAAGACTGCTTCAGTGAATTTGAGTGACAGAGTTTGAGAGGATTATTAACTCTGTCAAAGAAAATATACAGTAATATACATGACTTATAGAAAATTATTTAAGAATGCTTATTCCTTATACATATATGAAAAGAAAAATAGTTGCTTTGAATTTTATCTGGCAGAAAGAATATAATTTGTAAATAAAAGCCTGTTGAAAAAAACATACCTGTTTAGAAAAATGTCAAGAAACTTTTCAAAATAATAATACTTTTTCAAATATAAGTGGAGGATTTTGATATTAATAATAAAATCCACATATTTTTATATTTAGCTAAATTTATTTTTTTCCTATCAGTAATCATAATTAGTAGTAGACATAATGCTATTTGGACTTAATGACATTTTCAGTGAGGGATCTTGTACCTTTCTCATTACAAGCTATCCATCTACATTACAACATTGAATTCATAGATTTTTCACATTTTGTCAAACATAAGATTAAGCATTATTATTACAAACTGATATATTTGCTTAAATGCTTAAGAAGTTTCATTTCACACAACAGCATAAATATCAAATTATCATATAATATGTTACACTTACCTTGTTCTTCTTTAGACTTAAGAACTGCAAGAAGTCCCATTCGATACATAACATGAGGCAATTCAATAGCCCTATCAAAAACGTATCTTTAAAAATTTATTTCAAATACGATTCTTAGAAGTTTTATATAAATATTTCCCACATTAGTAAGTACATACAAATATATACATGATGCATATATTTCCACATTTAATTCATAATCAATGATAAAAACTATATGAACATCTTCATCAAAATTTTAATTTAGAATTTTTATTTTAATTTATATGAACTTAGGCCATAAATATGATATTTTCTCTTCATATTTTAAATGGAAATAAGTGCTGCAATTTTTCTCGACATGTGTTATATCAAATATGAAATTAAAAGATAAACATAAAATTCTGTTTGAGAACATGTTAATGCTTCCATTGAAAATACACTTATAGGTACACAACTCCTTTCATTTGAATATTTTTATACATAAGTGTGATTTTTATTTACTTACATTTTCTACTAAAAATTAAACTTTCAAATTACTTTTAGCAAATTCTACACTGACAATAAGTAATTTGATAAATTTGTTTAAAATAATCTATAATTTTATAAATCCTTTTGATGGTAATATTGCTAAAGATGCATTATTTTAAATTAGAGAAGTACTATATTACATCTATGACATTCTTAAAATCCTTAATTTCTGTCTACATTCTTTATTTTAAATCAAAATTTGCAGAACAGAGAAATTCTGAATGTTACAAATATGCATATTTTTAAATACATGACAGCATAGCAAATTTACTTTAAAATCAATTGAGTATTTTAAGCAGTGCAGGATTTACGTATAAGCTACACAAGCTATAGCTTAGGGACCCCCCCCCCAAAAAAAATCCTCTAGGTATCTGAAAATCATATTTGCCATTGACATATAATATCTGGACTTGTAAAGGGACCCATATCTCAAATAGCTTAAGGACTTATCATGTCCAAATCCAGCCCTGATTTCAAGATTAAATAATATATCCCAAGCAAATATTGATGCATACTAGAATAATTACACTTGTAACTTAAGACACTAATCCAATGTTATTAATATATGATTTATAAAATGTCATGAATATCATGTTTGATATTTATGACAATGAATATCATGTTTTACAACAACCATTTAATTTGTACAACAACCATTTAATTTGTAGAATACAGAAGGAACCTTTAGGTAATGACAAAAATTACACTAATAAATTTCATCTATAATAACAACCAGCAAATTCAAAAGATTTATTTTAAATACATCTTCATGTTTCATTTTGTATTCATAAATTTAAATTTTAAGCAAAAAAAAAAAAAAAAAAAAAATGATAATCATTGCCAATAAAGTACCAAATTTATAAAAATGTCCATACATAACATATGAAATTTCAGCTTTTAAACAAAAGAGTAAAAAAGTGATATTGTATATTTTAATCTCTTTCTTAAAGTACAACAAATATGTCTGAAGACTTCAAACATTCAAGCTTATTTGTCCAAAAATATATGAAAGTATAATGTGCTTCTTTGTTTCAATTCTTCTGAAAAAGTGGTTCATATCATTAGATTAAGAAAATATAGTGACAAGTGAATTTTTGTATATTTTAGCAGTAATTCAGTTTTTTTTCACCAGATAATCACAAACTACTCCAAATAAATAGTTGAATCAAACATAATCACAAACAAATTAAATGAAACTATGAAAGGACAAATATACACAATGATTTTATTTCTATATATTCTTTGGTATCTACAAGTAAAGATACTATTTTTTGAATATAATTTCTACTTGAATTTGAATTAATCATCTTTTGATTATTCAATCTCAAATATCAAAATTATCTTGTATAATCAGTACCTTCAGAAATATTAGATATGAACGTTTTTACTTAATCTCAACCCTTCAGCAGGAGAATTCAGGACTCATTAGTCATGGTATATTCTATCCCAAAACTAATACAGATTTATATAACAATTTATTATATCATCTTAGCAAATTTTAGAGAAAATGACATAATTTGATGATACAACAAACAAATAACTAAACTGTATATTTTAATAAATAAATTACTGCTTTCATTTTATTGATAAAATTTATTGACTGTTTGGGATTCATTAGTCATGGTATACTCAATTCCAGAACTAATAGAAATTTATACAATTTACTAGTAAACTTTTGCAAATTTACAGAAGCTGATGTAATTTACTGATACAACAAATAAATATAAAATTAATTTTATAATATATAAATTACTGCTTTAATTTTATTGACAAAACCTAGATATTTTTCTCCTGTTTTCGAAGAAAATGTAAGCATTTTCTAAAATTAAATAGATACAGAACTACGTAAAAACTACATCGAAGACCATTCAAACCAAAAATCACCCAATGCTTAAAACGAAATGAATTCAAACTGAAATGTGTTCATTAATAAAAATTTTTACGGAATAAAAAAGTGAAATTAATTAACGTACTTCTCACGAAAGCCGGCGGTACCATATCGAAGAATTTTAGAAGACAATTTAGGATACTTTTGTAATCCAATATTTAAAACTTGGCAAAAATCAGGTTTCATAATTAAAGCAGATGAGCTAAACTTAAAAAATAAATAAACTGCTTCACTTAAATGCTGCAGGACCAAATTTTATAAATCAGCTGTACCAAATAACTTGTAACGTGGCCAGCTAGTTTTACCGCTCCTCCTAGTTTTCACATTCTAAGCAAATTTCAGTGGCCTAAATAAATAAGATTAACCAGTTTAACAGTTACCATTTATGACATATGTCTCAAATACCTCAGTATCCATGATGCGAAAAAAAAAAAAAAAAAAAAAAAAAAAAACTGGATCTGTTGCTATAGTAACAGAAATTATATTACTCGGGATTCTCTTCTTCAAGGAAAAGTACGAAATCCGATTTCGCATCGAAATTATTTACATCCATATACCTTTGCGAATTTTTCGTTTTGTATCATACATAATATTAATCTTTAGTAAGAAAATGCAATAAATATAAAAAAATGATGAAATTCTATCTTTTCATATGTGGAAAACAGTATTACATACTGATGATTCGGATTCTCAAGAAAAGTACGAAATCGATGTCGCATCGAATTATTTACACCATATACACTGCGAATTTTCTTTTTAGTATCTACATAATATTATTTAGTAAGAAAAGCAATAAAATAAAAAATGAGAATCTATCTTTATATGAGAAAACGTAGACAACTGATGATTGGAACAATTCTCATCATTCGTATAATCCGTATTTTTTTGTCGTAGATAGAATTTAGATATATGTACGTTATAAGTTAGAGTTATGTAGTGTCTAAATTGTTATTAAGTATTAAATGAAGTAGATATAAAACTTTAATGGTTGAGTCTTTGTACCATTCGTATATGGTAATGAAGACATTACGGTATGATCCTAGTATACTAGGATTATATTCAGAAAAATATTTTGTTGACAAATTACGTATCTGAAGCATATTCATGGTGAAAGATTCCCGCAAAGAATTACATTTACTATCTAATGCAATTCATTCATTTATATTTTAATTAGATTATATATTTAATTGTAATTTTAGTTTAGTTGAATTAGTAAAGTAACGTTAGTTCATAAACATTCTGTTCTGCTTTATGTAATAAATAATTATATTATTAATTCTATACTTTATCATAAACTGTGAATTGTCTCAACAGAAAATACGTGATTTTACGTGGAGTTTTCCGCATTGTGAAATAATTTTTAGCTGAATGATTCTTCATATGATGATAGTTTTCAACGGAAATGTGTCTAGAAAACTTGGTAAACTAGCATTATTTTTAATTAACATTTATGTTGTTATAATACTATATAGTTTATATTAGTATAGTGTTTATTTATTATTTATAAGTGCTCTGATGATGAATTAAAAATTAAGAAATTTCTGAATTTAATACCTAATTTCCTTCTCATGTAGTTTAAGTCTGAGAGCATTACTAAAAAAAAAAAAAATTTCTTAATTTTTTATTTTATTTACATAGCAGACTTTACTTATGTGTATTGTTACATGCAGTAGTATTTACCCATACAGGAGTGCATGATATTTACATATTAATAGATACTGCTTTCTTCATTGACAGTAATCTGCCAATATTTTTTTGCTTTCTTGTCAATCTTGTATAAATGTAGTGCCTGCATTGACAATAATTAGCTGGTGCTGGTTCACCTACAGTGGTTCCCAAAAGTGTCCATCTGCTTATAAGTTTCAGTAAAATATTGCTTTATCAATTGATAAAAATTAATATTTGAGAATGAGAATTTTTTTAATAATATCTAAATTTCTTTTAGCAAAAATACATTAGTTATTTTATGAATGTAGTAAAAGTTTTTTTTTTTTTTTTTTCTTTTAAGTTACCTCACAAAAGTCTTTGTACAGTAAGAAAATTTGGTGAATCTTTGGATTATGGTAACTTCACGAAACTTTGGTGACCAACCCTGCTACAGCAACCTGCTAGTTTTTTTTTTTTTTTTTTTTTTTTTTAAGGACACCATTTTGTTTTTACGAAGTAAAGCCATTTTTTTTTAACATTTTTCGAACATCTGCTAGCCGCATTACGCTTATGCTGAAACTTATGGAACAAAAGGCTTACATGACAAAGATTAGGTGCGAAATTGGGAGAAAGTTAGAATAGCCACGCTTGCCACGTTTTTAAGAATTGAAATACATGTGTCCAGTACACATTGATATTTTCACTTAAAAAAAATCCCAGAATTACACAAAAAATGGCATGCAACATTGACTTTATCCATGTACATCGACCTATTTTCACTTAAAAAGTCAAGAAATTGACAAAATCAATTCTCTTACTTTGTAAAAAGCGCCAACAATAAATGGGCGGTTGATCTTACATTGTAACTTGGCGGATTTTCTGGAGAAAATTTGTCAACAAACTCTACTACAGCAACCTCTATGTTTTTTCCCGCCAAGACAGTTTTTTTCTTTTTATCTACTGAACACTTATTCCAACAACTACTAGCCGAATACACTGATGCTGCACTTTATCAAACAAAATGTTAATCATGACAAAGATTCATTGCAAAATTGGGAAAAAGTGACAAGACAATACTCCTTACCATTTTCAAAATACACAACACAGAAACCATGTACACGCCGATTATTGTACTAAAACACATCCCAGCATTGCCACAAAACTGGCAGTGCCCCACCTCACTATATCCATGACACTGCTTTGCTCATACATAGAACAATTTCACGAAAAATAATGACATTTTCGCAGCTGTAACCGGTAAAAAGAAATTATGACATTACCTGATCGCGAAAAATATTTACCCGTTCAAATAGAACATTTCCACTTAAAATAAAAAAAGACCAAAAACTTTTATCTTAAACATTATTCATTATACACGTCACCACGAATCATACCGCAAACCATACAAACTAGGTCAGATATTTCAATTATTTCCATGAAGTTTACTTCAAGCTAAACGTATACCAAATCATCAAATAAATTCACAACATTAACCTCTTTTTTAAATATATTCCATTCAAACATACTTCCAATCTAAATGCCGCCATAACAATAAAAACACATTACTTCCAATTATTTAACTAAATCGTGCTAATAACATTTCCATAATACCAATCCTTTCCACCTTACATTTAGAAAATGCATAAAAAATACCCTCAATAACTAAAAACTAACTCCTAATTTCTTCAGAATCTGAGTAGGGGTCGGAACACTTTTCTCATTCATGCCCAAATATTGAAAGATCTTTCGCGACTTTTTAACCCATACTTACTCAGGTAAATAAAAACCAAAACTTCTCTTCTCACCTCCAAATGACCCCCCCCCCCCCCCCCCCCCCCCCCCCCCCCCCCCCCTTTCGCCTTGCACACCGGCATGGGATCCAAAGATTAACCTACATTTCACACAACACAGAATAAAAGCAAATACAAAATTTCCAGATTTTTCCCGACTCCCCCCTTTTCCGATTAAAAGAACCTAATTCGTCTTAATATCACATGACAGATCCCATGATTCTCATTTTCCTCACGCAAAATAGGTAATCGGACTGAGTACTGCACATTATTACCAAAGTCCCAGGTAGTACTTTATCGCCTCCAAAATGTCGCCAAACTACCAGTTACCATATTGTAAAGATCAACCAAGTGGGCAATTCTGCACTTTAGCAGTGAAATTGTTTCTAAGTGCTTATTAGCTAAAATTCCGATTGGAATTTTCCGGAAAATGTCACATGGTAAAAGTATAGTTTAGGGTACCCCTTGGCTATTTTTGGCAGTACATGGATACCGATTTTGTGCAATTCTTTGACTCGTTATTTTGGCTTGCGAAGCGAAGATTTTTGTGCCAAAAATTGCCCCTACACGAAGCCAAAATAACACAGACAAACAATTGCAAAACTCGGTATCCTGTACACGTCGAATATTTTCACTTTAAAAAAACCCCCAGAATGCAACAAAAATGGCATTGCGCACTCCTTTGCCTTTAACCATGTGTACACGTCGACCTATTTTCACTTTAAAAAAATCCCGAAATTGCACAAACTTGCATTGCGACTCCCTTTACTTGTCCATGTACACATTGATATATTTTCACTTACAAAGTCGAAGGAGCACAAATTCTACAATATAACAAACAAAAAATACATAATCTCATAAAATACTTTAAACCAAACAAAAGAACATAAAAAAAGAAAACTTACAGTCAAAAGTCGTTAATCCGGACTCGTCGGGACTTCGGCGATTCCGGATTATAGATCATCAGTTTAAATCTCGTAAGATGGCATGCAGCAGCAGAAATTCTAAAATTAAAAATATGAAAACCGTAATTTGTGAAATAAAGAACAATTATGATCTAAAGGGTATCGAAATTTGCAAAAAGAAAAAGCTTAAATATTTTTGTTTACTTTATTAAACATTTCTTTCAATGTAAGTTGTTAAGTTTTGCTTCGTTCATGTGATAATACTTTCTCTTTAATTCTATTAAACAGACATAATTTCTTGTTCAGCTACAAAGTTCCGCCGTTCAAGTCCTATAATTGCTGTGTCAAGAACACCGACTAATTTGTCAATTGAAATTTTTTCATTTTCAATAACCTCTGTTACTTTTCTTCACTATCGGAAGCGAATTATAATGACGAGGAACTTGTTTTAAATCATATCAAAGACGGAGCATATCGAGATGAAATACTACATTTGGTAAGGAATTATAAGCCAAATAAAATAAAAACATCTGCGCTCAAGATAAGGATAGTGCTGACAAATGAACTTCCAATTCATTATGCGCCCGCCGCGGCGTTCCCCCGCCGAGCAGCATGAAATTGATAAACAGATTTCGGATTTCAAAAAAAACATACTTTCGCTTTAGATCTTTACATGTTAACAAATATATATTGGAAATTCTATTTGATATAATCGAAAGTTTAAGCTTACTTTTATAAAATTGCTCTTACAGTCTGAAAAAAATAATAAGCCGGATGCAATTTGAAAATTAAGGAACAACGCAATCATCAACATTAACTGAAATAGATAATTAGATAATTTTAGCTTATATGTTCATTATACATAAAATGCGCACGCGAAAATGTATTTTGCACTTGTGCACACTCATTTGTGCAGTCGTAAAAGGTCTTACGCGCACGCGTCAACGCCTCTGCGCATGCGTCAACGCGGCGCATGCGCAGAAAGTTTTTAGTTTTGAGGTCCGGATTATAGATCATTTCGAATTAACGACT